CAGGCGCCGGTCAGGTCCTGTGCAGGGGACCGCGTGCAGTCCTGGGAAGAAGCTGCGGGAGAACCTGAAACTACGTCGCAGAATAAAATCTTGAAAGGGTGCAGCCCTTTAGAAGTTTGGAAACTTCGTTGGGCCATAGAGGCTTTTTGTCACGTGCAACCTTACAAGGAAGCCAAAATATGAAACGGACGCATGTGGACCTGCACTGGGGGGGGTGGGAGAGGGCCCACCTAAGTTTCTGCCTCTGGAGGGTCTCCCCTCCTTTGCCTGCCCCTCCCCCCGGACAGCTCAGAAGAACTCAGCAGGACACCACTGCCCCTGGGAGGTGTCCCACCTAACCCAGGGGCTGAGGCTCCGAGAGGGCGGGTCGTTCTCAGGACAAGGGAGTAGCTGTGAAGCCAGAATAAGAGCTCGGGTTTCCTGAGGTCTCTCCAGTGTTTCAGGCTGAGGGGTCAGGTGTCTGAAGGGCTGCTGCATGGAAGAGAGAGGGGTCTTACTGTGAGTGGAGAAGCAGGGTGGAGTGGGCACAACAGGGAGGCCGATTTCCACTTAAGACAGGAGGAGCTTTCTGAAGGCCAGAGCTGTGAGAACACGCAATGGACCGCCTTGGCGGGCAGGGGGCCCTGGAGACAGCACCGTGACTGCCTCCTCCCCTGCAGGACCCCCGAGAAACCAGGACCCCTCCCCCATCAGAGCCCGAGGCTTGGCACCCAGAGGCTCGGGGTCCAGGCCAACCTCTGGAGTGAGGGTGCTGGGCCCTGATGGCGTGGAGCATGCAGGGCAAAGGTGACGGGGAGGCAAGGGAGGGAAGCCTCACTGACGCTCAGTTTCCCCACCTGTACGACGAGGCAAGACCAACCTCTGGGACATGCGGGAGGAAAGGACAACACGGACAAAGGCACCCCCGAGGACCCCACGTCTCAGTGCTTAGGGATGTCTGGGTGATGCCCGAGGGCTGCAGGTATTACTGCGGGAGGCTGTGTCCGAGAACCAATGTCCCTTAAGTTGGGGGCTCTCAGCTCAAAAGCTGACAGTGAAACCGGCAAAGGCTGAGTGTATTACATTCTGTGCTTATTTCTGGAGAGTTATTCCATTACTTTTATCAGAATCTCAAGGCATCCCGGATCCAAAAAGAGTTAAGAACCCCCGTCTTAGACTGTGGATTGTCACCAACCCCGTCCTCCGCCCCGGTACCCGTGAGGTCATGCTTCCACACCCATGAGGTTATGCTTCCAGGGGACAAAGGCTAGTTACCAAGTCTTTGAAAGCCGAACTGCCCAAAGCCGTGGCCCTTGACGGAGCCTTGGTAGATGAAGGTGCCTCCGGAAGACTCTGAGGAGACCTGTGGTGGTGGGAGCGGAGAGAGCGGGCTGGGAGGCATGCTGGAAGCCAGGCCGGCGACACTCAAAGGCGCGCGCTGCCAGACACTCGGGTTTCACCCTCCACTTTGCCCTGACACACAGACAGTGGCTGCCCACTCCCAGGCAGGGGCCGAGCACGGGGCACCAACTGCGGGTAGGAGGCAGGGAGGCGTCTTTTCGTATTTTCCACTGGCCAAAACATTTAATCTGTGCTTCAGCTTCTCATTTGTAAAACAGGAATAATAACAGTACCTCTGTCTCAGGGTGGTTGTGAAGATTAAATGAGTTAATATAGATAAAGCACTTACAACACTGAGCAGGCCCTCGGTAAGTGTTAGCTGGTATTACTGCGATGAAAAACTGACTTGTAGAGCACCACGGGACAAACCGAACCGTGATTAAAGTGTACCTAGCGGATTTAACATAGTTTGGAGGGTTCATCGCAGTTCCATTAGCTATAATTTTTTTGGGGTAATCGGGGACATAACTCCTTCTTGCTCCCTCTGCCACTTGCCTCCATGATGCCGACACTCAAACAAGCTGGCTGTGGGCTGCTCTGCGCAGGGCGTGCTCTGGGGATGCTGGCACTACTGGTGCACCTGCCAACCATGCTCCTTCCCCAGGGAGGAGCCTCTCCTGTCCCCTCATGAGTGGGCCCGATGGTTGGCTGTCATCGGAGGCAGTTGCTCCAGCCACCCCTAGCCCCTGGCTGGCACCTGGCTTCATCTCTCAACTTCAACCCTTGTTCGCTCACCTCCAGCCACTCTCCCAGCACGGTGGAGCCTGTTATCCTGGCAAGCTCCTGGATGACTACTACTGAAGCCAGTCAGGGCCTGGACACCCAAGAGGGTCCGTCCACAGGATACTCTCGAGAACAGCAAGGAACTAACCGTCTGCGCCACCCCTGGAGAAGCCACTTGCTTCTTATGTGTTTATAAAGCAAAGTCACTAAAGCCACAGTCCTCCACCCTTAAATGTTGTCCTGGGGGATGTACCCTGACCCCTCAGCTCTCTGCTACTCTGGCCACCGTCCCTCTCTCCCCTTTATACTCTTCTAGCTTCAACAAGAAGCTAGCAGGGAAGCCAAGGATAAGACAGGTGACGCTACACTCAACTCCACTACGGGTGAAAGTGGAAGGTGTGGGCAGAGGAGCAGCGCAGCAGACCTGGCTTCCATCTCATGAATGCCCTGGAACTTGACAAGCCCTCCCCACAAGGGGACGCAAGGAAGCTCTACCCTTCCCCAACGACTTGGACTCCCGAGCTGTGCTGAATCACCCACCATCTGCATCCTTCACTGGACTCACCACCTCCCAGCTCCCACCACACCATGACCTCCGACTTGCTGAATTCACTCATACACCGCTGACCTCCAAGCCCTGGCTCTTGGCTCTAGCATCGGAACCTACTCCATCCCGCTCAGATGTGCTGACTCTCCGGACTCTCAGCCTCCTGGCCCTTTTTAGCTTTTCCTCTGCTCACTTCACTAGCCAGTGGGGACTNTGCTCAGATGTGCTGACCCTCCGGACTCTCAGCCTCCTGGCCCTTTTTAGCTTTTCCTCTGCTCGCTTCACTAGCCAGTGGGGACTCCCTCGCTCCTAGTTCCAGCCCTAGAGAAAACCTCCTTTCAAGTTTCCATGTGGATCCAAGGCTTCCACCCTCTCCTCCCCTCCTCTTTCCTGCCAGTGATCCGGGAATCGGATGGGCCCAGGGCACGGGGAGTTCAAGGGCTGAATGGGATCTGCTCAACTTACATGCCCATCTAGAGCCCAGTGATCATCTTTGAACTTATTCACGAAGATCTCCACAGGCCCTGTAATCTGGTACACCTGGAGCAGGAGATGGAAATCTTCTTTCTTGTAAATTCCTGGGAAAAGAGAGTTCAGAGGGTTCACCTGAAAGACCTGGGAAAATTTCAGAAAGCAAGTTTGTGGGTGTGAGCGTCTGAGTGGGATTTCACATGCAGACGTCGATCTAAATACTCCATGAATAAGTAACTGTAAGTAGGTAGGTATGGTGCTGCTGGTGATTTGTGCAGGCTGACTGTGCACATGTGCAACAATGTGCATGGGTGTTAATAAACAGTGGGTCACCGGCCTGTGGCTGGGACCCGGCTGACACGCGCATGTGTGAGAATAGAGTGGAGATGGTTTGGTATACGTGGACGCGCCAGTTAATGTGTGAGTGCTTAGGCTCCAGTGCGTGCAGGGATGCGTGAGTGACGTACCCGGGGTTTGGGAGTGTGCTCAGGGCTCCCTTAGAGAAGAGTCAATGTGAACATTCGCTGTGTCCGTGTGAGCGTGAACGAATGGCTGTGTGTATCACTCATGCACTCATTTATCCAGCCACCTACTCAATAGACACTTTTTCTACATATTTAGTTTTTCTGACTACAGAAGGATTGAAAATTAGGGAAATTTTGGAAAATGCTGAGAAGCATGAAGAAAAAAACATCACTTTTGATCTCATTACTAAGAAATAACCACTGTTAACATTCTGGTGTAATTACTTCCAATTTTCTTTCTTATAATTTTTTTCTTTTAAAAACTGGAGTCGCATTTTAAATGCCTTATCATGGATGTATTTCTTCCAAAATTGACATAATATTTTATCCAGCAGATAAGCTATAATTAATATATCCATGCATTTTTAGATATTTCCATTTATTTAATGTGAGTAGCCCTGTAATGTGAACATCTTCTATTTATGTGTTTGACTCCATCCATAATTATTTCTTATGATAAGAATTCTTAATTAATGGGTCCAATCATCTTCAAGGACCTTGATACAAATTGCCAGACTGTTTTCCAGAACGGTACTGTTTTCTACTTTGACCAGCACTAAAGTTTATCACTTAAAAACAACACCTTAGTTGGAAAAGTAGAAAATGACATTTTGTGTTTATTTTGATTTTTTTTTGATTTCTGATGAAAAATATTTTTCTCTTGTTTATTGGTTGCCTGTACTTTGGCTTCTGGGGTTGTCGGCCCTCATTTCCAGTTCAGTTTCAGGATACGAGTCTCTTTCCCCTTTATTTCTCACAGTCCTTCGTATGTTCAAGTTATTGATGTTTGTAATTTAGCCATTTCCCTTTAGTCCCTGGTGCTTTTATCACGTAAACAAAGATGAATAGACATTGCCTCCCCACCCCCCGCCCCTGCCTAACAGACAGGTCTGGGCCTCCCATGACAGTACAGCGTAATGACAGTAGACTCATCCAGGCAAGGGGACTGTGCCCATCCAGCCTTAGTGACCCTGGCTGGCACGCAGGCGGCCTGCTCCTCACCAGCCAAGTGCAACTCCACGCCGCTGTGGTCAATCATGGTGGCGTTGACCTTGCTGCTGACAGCCTGGAAGCCGGTCACTCTGAGCATGGCCGGGTGCTTCTTCCCCTGGTACTCATAGGCCCCTTTCCATAGGGAATTCTTGGCAAAAACATCCCCAGGAACTAGAGGAATTGAGAAACAGACACGAGAGGGACTTGAAGGTGTGCTGGCGGAATTGAGGCCGCCTGATGACTGATCCCAGTTCAGTCATGAGATTGTTTTCCAGCCTCTAACCCAGGGAGGGTGGTGGAGTGCTCTGGCCCTCCGGTGATCCTCTTGGCTCTCGGAGTGAATGAATGGAGGGAAAGAGAAGGGAGGTAGATAAGAAAAATGGAGAAAACAAATAAGAAAGGGGGAGAGGGAACTAGAGAGGAGAGAAAACCAGTACGTCAGTATCGTGTGGGGTCAGACAGATCTGGATTCTCATCTTGGCTGTAACTTACCAGTTGTTTGGTCAAGTGCAAGAGCCTCAACTTCCTCACCTGTAGGACTACACCTGGGGGCCATCCACCTACCTCATCAGAGTTATTGTGGGGGTTCAATGATCTGATGTTGCAAACTATTACTCATAAAAACACCTAATGAGTGGTAGAGACTAAAATTGTTATTTATCCTTACAGTAATTCTCTATAATCCCTATTTTACCAAAAGGTAAACTGAAACTCAACAAGTAGAGTCTATTTGCCCAAGGACACAGTTGTTCAGTGACCAAAATGGAATTTGAACTGAGTTTATGACACCAAATCTCATCTTGCTTCCTGTATAATGCACATACTAATAAAACTGCAGGGTTCAAGAAAGGATATGATAATATATAATAATTTTGCATTGGTCAGGCCGACCTGTAGCTCTGTGTCCAGTTATGGTCATCACACTTTGAAAGAATCAACACCTGTCTTAAACATATAACCATTTCCAGGAAGCCCTCCGGGCAGGACCTAGGTCTGTGTCTATGACCACACACTGGCCGGTGCTGTGCTGGAAGGAGGTGTGGTTGATAACTGATGGCTCCGGAGCTCGAAGCTCTGGACATGTCTTTGGAAAACCTTGGATCCTTCTTCTGGGTGAGATTTTTGCTTCCTTCAGGCTCACTTCCTCCTGTAGTCTGCCTGGGGTTGGGAGGTGGAAGGGGAAATCCGTTTGGCTCTATAGGTGGTTTTCATGCCCTTCCAACAGATACTCAGAGACTCATGTGCATGTTTCTGGGTAACTAGGTGAAGGAAGCAACACGTTTCTTGAGCCAAAGACCTGGTCCGTATGTACCTGAGGCTTGGGTGAGCGGCGGCTCCCGGGCGGTGTTGATGGGTCTCCCACTGGGCCGGACCTCTGCTGGGGAAAGAGAACGGGGGAAACTGGGTCAGCCTCGGGCCTACATTCTGTTGGAGACATAGTGGCTGCTTCCAGGGCAGGGTTTCTGTCTTTTACCTCTGAGCTCTCCATGTCCAGCACAGGTACGCACAGTGATAATGCTCAATAAATAGAGAAAGGGGGAGGGAGGTCTGTGACCTCGTGTTAATCCTGAGGGATCTGTGGGTGGGTGATGTCTTATCGAGGTTATATTATGCATAAGGCGTTATTCTCCTTTGGTGCAATCAAGAGATTTTCTCTGTCTGATGACTAAGTACCATCCTGGGAGAGTGTTGAAGCTCAGGCAGAAAGTAGCAGAATAAACCTTGGGATGGCTTCACTACGTGCCTCTTTAGACTGTCCTGGTTTCCTCTCCTAGAGACTCAGTGCCTCAGAGAGTCAGAAGCAGGGCCCAGCTCCTGGAAATCACATGTCTTCCTTCTCATTTGCCCTCCTTCACTCAGGCTTGGCTGGCACCTTTGGCCTCCCCCCTGGAGAGGTTCACCAGTGGGCACACTCACCCAGGCAGATGGGTGGTTTGCCTGTCCAGCTGCCATCTGCTTTGCAGGTGCGGTGCTCGGAGCCACCCTTGAGGGAGAAGCCCTCCTGGCAGGAGTAGATGAGTGTGTAACCCATGGAGGGCAAGTCCAGGGCCCCAACGTTGGCATGGGTTGGCGTCTCTGGCTGCTTGCAGTGGTGGGCTGGACGAGAGGAAAGACAATGTTGGACCTGGGGAGAGGGGGGGTCTTCAGGAGGTCTTTTGACTCTTCCCCTGTTCCTGGGAAGAACATTCCCTTCCTTTCCCCTCAGGCCCCTCTCATGCCCAGCACCCCCTCTCCACACCTCCCCACCTCCCAGCCCTGCGGTCTACTGGAATGGCCAAGGTGGAGATCATGTGGACACTGGGGTATCACCCCGGGAACTGAAACCTGCAGCACTTATCCCGAGGGAAGAGGGGTAATTTTGGTCAAAGGCCTGAGATCTTCCATCTTGAGGGCTGGCTTTGGTAGTTGTTAGTTTCTGCCGCCACTGGAAAGTTCTTTCTTTTTACTTTGCTAAGGCCTAGGAATTGCCTTCAAAGATCAGAACGGTTTTTATGTGAAAATGTTTTCTGCGAGTCCCCAAGGAGTGATGATGACAAAGAGACCAATATTGGTCCCAATTAAAAGTGTGAGCTCCCTGCCATTCAGAGCATGCCAGTGTGTGGAGGCAGCGTGTTGGGCCGCAGGCGCCGTCTGCACTCACGGACACAGTCAGGCGGGGTTCCGCTCCAGGTCAGGTTGGGGAGGCAGGTCCTGGTGGTGGAGCCCTGAAGCAGGTAACCTTTCTGACAGCGGAACAGCACTGTGTTTCCGACCTGTGGCAGGACGGAAGGTCCTATGATCACCTCCATCCAGTACCGCTTCATACCCGTCACCGATCACTGACCGCTACTTTCCCACAACCCACCTCCTACCCAGCCACTGCTCCGCCCGCAACACCCTTCTTCCACTTCTCTGCCTCTCGAGCCTCTATTCTTTTTTTTTTTTTTAAATTGATTTTTATTTAAGAGAGAGAGGAAGGGAGAGGAAAAGAGAGAAACATGGATGTGAGAAAGAAACATTGATGGGTTGCCCCCCATATGCACCCCGACTAGGGGCTGAACCCACAACCTGGGCATGTGCCTGAGCGGAAATCACACCTGCGACTCTTGGGTGTACAGGGTGATGCTCCAACCGACTGCGCCACGCTGGCAGGGGCCAGCCTCTATTCTTAACCCCGTTTTCATTCCCTTATCAGCATTCTGAGTGATAGTCCAAACGGTGAATCAGTTCGAGTCACCTTCCAGTGGGGACTCACTGGCATTTAGAATAAAATCCAAAATGCTATCCTGGCCGCAAGGCCCCACATGACCTGGCCTATAACTTTCTCTCTTCGAAAATTATTATGTGACATTTGACGCATACAAAAAAATATATGTAGACATGAACTGTAATAATAAAATGGACACTTTAGGTTGAGCCCACTACTCAGCTTAAGAGCTAGAACATTATCGGCGAGGGTGTGTGTGCTCCTTCCTGGCCCCTCTCAGTGGTAACCACTACCTTGAATTCTGTGTTTTAACTTCTTTGCTCTGTTAAAAAATAATTCTATCACATATGTGTACATACACCTCTAAACAACGTGAGTTTTTCTTGGTTTTAACCTTGATAGACATAGTATCATACCCCTTTGCCTTTTAATAGTGTGTTGCCGAGATTCACCCACACTGGGTAGGGCTGGTTCACTGGTTTTCATGGCTGTATAAGAAGCCATCGTGTGACCACACATTTCCGTTTCCTGGTAACATGTGCAAGAGCGACTCTAGGGTTGGTTTCTAGGGTTTGAAATTTGGGGTCCCTAGAATGTGTGAATGTTTAACTTTGCAAGACAGGGCAAGCTGATTTTAAATCTAGCCTAGCTCTGGCGCCCTCCTCCTCTTTCACTTGCTCCTGACTCACTGGCTGGCCTGCTCCCCCGTCCTGCAATCTGCCCAGAACTTCCCTCCTCCGTGCTCCTTAGCACTGGCCGCTCCACCCGCCAGGAATGCCCCCAGCTCTGCACAGGGCTGCCCTTCTCATCCTGGAGGCCGCAGTGCAAGTTTAGGGGGGCTCTTCCCTCACTACGCTTCCTAAAATAGGAGCCCACACCGTCGCACCACTTTATGTCACCTCGTGTGCAGTGGTCATCACTCTCACAGGCTGTCTTGTTAATGATCACCAGTCAGGGCGCTCCCTTAGGGCAGGCACTGGGCCAGTCTTATTCCCACTGGACTCCTAGCATCTAGACTAGTTCATGGCAGTAAATAAATGAGGTTCCTTGGCTAGATCCCAACCTGTCATTTTCAGGTTAGTCCCTGATATTCCCCTGGGCACACCTGGGCTCCAGTTAAGAGTCCTGCCTTGAACACACCCCTAGTTTCCAGCTTCCTGTTCACAGTGCCCCATCCCAGGCTGTCCAACTCCCCTCCTCCTCCTGAAGGTCATTCTGAGCTGGGCCCATGGGGCCTGCACCCTATTGGGACAAGCCCCCTGGGCCTGGCCTACCTCCCGCCCTGTCTGAGCCCAGTGTCTGTGGGTAGGGTATGGGCACCTTGAGGGCTCAAGGTCCCTCTGTCCCAGTTCCGTATTTGCACAAAGGCCCCGCCCCAACTACACGGGGCTGCGGGGAAGGGTTTGCGAGGCTGCGTGTGATCTGTTTTTCTGCTTTGGCTTCTCAGACTGGTGCGAGCTCCTTTTGTCCCAGAATGGGGTCCGTGCAGCCCCCTTCCAACAGGCAGCGTGCTTCTTTCCTCCAGCTTCCAAGGACACAGCCCCCACTAGTGCTGTTCCAAGCAAGGTCCCCAGGCCTCCTGAGGCTGACAGTGACAGGAAGGGGCAAGAGGCAAGAAGGCCCAATCCTGGCTGACCCCATTACCTGGTAGCCCTGGGAATTGTTCTGTATCCCGAACTGCGGCATGCCGGGGTCTGCACACGTGGTCAGCGTCGGGTCTGGATCGCAAAACAAAGAGGCCACACGGTCACTGAAGCTTTCCCTGCCTCCGCTTACTCCGAGAAACAGATGTAGAGCAGAACACGGAGCCACGTCCTGACGTCCCTGCCTCTTGGTATTTCCACCCCTGAGCCATATCCTGGCTGACTATACAGTGCTCTGGAGCATATTAACTCTGGCTGTGTCACGTCCTGATCCAAGAAGCTCAGAGTAGGACTTGTCACCTTTACAGATGAGACCCCTGAGCACAGGGAGGGAAAGTCATCACCTTGGGCCCACAGCTGGGACACTGTGCCCCAGACCACCTCTCACCTATGCAGCTGGGCTGGGTGCCACTCCATGTCCCATCTGATTGGCAGAACCTCCGAGGAGAGCCCACCAGCACCAGAGGGGGCTGGCAGGAGAAGGAGACGGAGGACCTGTAGGAGAAGCCTCGGTCCTCTCTCCTCCCACGGGGCGGGACACCAGGATCTCCGCAGAACACAGCTGGGAAGACGAAGGGAGAAAGGCAAGTCCAAGTTGCTTCCAGAACCTCGTGCGTGACCCCACGGTCCCCATGCCTACCCCCGCCTTTGTTCTTTGTCCGCTTTCCTCTGGGTTCCGCCTGAACTCTGGAGACGGGGGCTGCTCAGGGTAAATGATAACACCTGCCTCATGGCTGCTGCTGTCTCCCTCCTTCCCAGAGTCAAAGTGCTTATAAATAATCATCCAAGTAACGGAGAAACACTACACTGTTTTGTCCCCCCCCGCCCCCATTTTCATGCTCATTCCTTTCTGGTCTTTGTTTAGTGCTAGGTAAATCTGTGCGTGGCTGCAAACAAATGCTAACTTAGCTTTGTTCACTTACTATCTTGTGAACATTTCCCGGGTTTATGACAGCCTTATTTATTGGCGACATAATTCTGCAATGACTGGTTGTACCATTAAACTTTATCATAACCTTTATATTGGGCACTTTCTATTATCATAAAGTTACATGTGGCCTTTCTTTTATCTGTATTATTTTCTTAGGGGAAATTCTCCAGGCGTGGACTTACATCTAAAGGTCTGAGTGTGATCGTGGCCCCTGATGTATACGGACAATTGTCTTTCCAAAGGGTGTGCATTTACACTGCAGTAGGTAGTGTAAGGAGTGTGCTCATTTCATTCAGATCTTCAGAGTGTTATTAAAAATGGGCTACCGAAGGCAAAGTTCCCCAAGACACCACTTCAAGCACGAAGAACATTCTTTAGGCTATGCTAGATGAGTGCGTGTGTACAGAGTCGTGAGGTTCATCATAATATGCAAATAAAATGACAGCCTGGGCCCTGGGAGCTGGGGAGTCTAGACCTGACCGAGCAGAAGTCAGTCCAAGGCCGAGCTGATCAGAAGTCACTGTATCTAGAAAAAGGCAACTCAAAAGATAAGAAATACTAACAGATGACAAAGAAACAGCAACTCAGTCTTGCTAATAAGCAATGTGGTGCCAATTAAAATAATGATGTACCTTTTTAAGCTCCTCAGTCTGGTAAATATTTTTTAAAAAAGGGAAAATCCATTATTAATGAGCATATAAGTCAAGAAATACTCTCATAAACTGCTGGAGGGAGTGCAAACTGGGACACTTTCTAGAAGACAGCTTGGCAACATGTGTCTAGACAGGTAGAGTGGATGTCTGTGGACTCAGGCTCATTCCTAGGACTTTACCACCAGGGTAAAGAAATGCTGTTTTCAGGGCTATTTCTTGCAGAACTGCTTCTAACAGGATTAAATGGGAGAAAACCAAATTTGTCACCAGTAGGAGAAGATTGGACAAGTTGTGGCATCTACAGCAAGGAAATTCTTTAAACCATTAAAAATGACCTTTCTGTATTGATAGAGAAAGGTGTTGCTGGCCTGTAAATGAACACAAGTCATGAACTAGTATGTGCAGCACGATTCAACGCTGTTCATAGGAAATAGTATTCCTATTGCTGTTCGTGCAAAAACGCAGCGTGACTGACGTGGAGGCAGGGCCGTGGCCGCCTTTGGGAACTGAGAGTTCAGGTGATCGTCACATTTTCCTTTATATTTTCAGCTATCACACAAATTTTTGATGATAACTGTAATTCATTGCTAAGAAGCAATTCAGCTATTTCTCAAGAAGAAACGCATGGTTTCTAGCCCAGACTCAACCCCAAGGCTTGCTGCAGACCTAGTGCTGCCTGAAGGTCTGGGAAGGTCTGGGGGCTTGACCGCGCCCCAAGTGCTCCCTTTCCCGGGGCCACGCTGAGCTGCTGGCCCTCGTCTCGTCTCTGCTGAAGTTTCCCCATTGGAAGCAAACTGTCAGCGGCACCCAAACAGCGTCATGAGCAGCCAGTAGGTTTGCGCAGCGTTGGACAGACGCCGAGTAGACGGGAAAACAGGCCCCGCTCTTCGTCCAAAGCACAGGAGCTGGGAAAACGTCCAGAGCCAATTCACGGGCTGTGACAAGAATGAGCGACCCGGACCCTGCTTCTCCGGGACTTGGTGAGAAATGAGCCCTGAAATGGCCTTGGGCTCTTTGGGACACAATTGGCCCAGGCAGATAGGAAGTAAACTCTGTTACTGGAAAGTCGGGAGTTCCCAGGAGTCTTTCTGTGCAGGGTATTTTCCGTTATGATGGGCCCCGGATCGCTGGGTACCACTCAACCCAGTGAACAACTTTCGGGATAAGAAACCTTTCCCTCGCTTCTGGCTTAATTTCTTCCATTGGGACTCCACACAAAGTCTGTAGCAAGGGCTCAATTTATTCTCATTTTCTTTCTGTAAACTTCCTTCCTCCTTAAATAGCGTCTGACAAAGGTCCTCCCTGGTTTGGGGGTGGGGTATCTGTTCTAGAACTTCTATCAGCCGAGCCCTGAGGGAAGGGGAAGGAGCCAGCAGACAGAAGGCGCTAAAGAGCCCCGGGAGCAACTTACGGAAACACTGAGGCAGCTCTCCAGTCCAGGATCCGTTTCCCTCGCAGGTGAGCACCGCAGGCAGGGAGAGCTGGTACCCCTCCAGGCAGGCATAGGTCACGCTCGAGCCCCACATGAAGTCAGACCCCACCACCTTCCCGTTGGGGATGAGCTGAGGCGGCTTGCACATGATGGCTGGGGGAGGTGAGACCAAAGCAGGCTGAGTTCTGGTGCTATCCCAGGGACACCAGGCCCTGGTCACCAGCACGGATGTCACTGGCTACCCTGCTTCTGGTAGGAGTCTGAGCTGAGCAGGAGGAGTCAGGAATGACCCCTCTTACTTAGGGAGCTCTGGTCTTTTTGCTCCTTAGGGTGTTATTGTTCAAGTGTGACACCCACCCCTCTTTGCATGGCCCTCTCCTCGATGCTCAAAGCCCAAGCCCCATCTTGGTACCTCCTACTCCCCCCTCGCAGATGTTCAGGGACCAGTCCTCACCCTGCACACCTCTGGTTAAGATGTCAGGGCTCTTCCTTGTCACCCTCCCTTCTAGACACCAGAGGCCCACGTCTCACTTCTGTATCATCTTTGGCCTTCTGTCCACGCCTGCAGCCCTCAGACGCACCTTTGCAGACTGGCTTGGTACCATTCCACGTCCGGTCCTTGGTGCAGCTCAGCACAGACACCCTGTGAGACTCCATCATGTAGCCAGGGACGCACTGGTATGTCACAGTTTTGTTGTACCTGAAGTCACTGCCCAGCCGGAGGCCATTGGCTGGAACCCCGGGGTCAGCACACTTTATGACTAGGACAGGGAGATACAGCATTGCTCACTCCCAGTCCACACTCCCCCTCCCCAGTATTCCAATGCCACCCCCATTACTCTCTATAATGTCCAGGAAGAAAAACTGTGAGATCAGGAACGCCCTGGCCCTCCCAGGCCCCCAGGTGGGCACTGCCCAGTCTCCCTGCAGGGGTCCTCATGCAGACACTCTCCTTGCTCATACCATCCTCTGCACCCCCAGAAACGAGGGCTATGAAGACCATTCTTCTTATTCAAAGCCCACCCCTCCAAGAGGAAGTACCCAGAGGGCTCAGTTCCTAAGCGAGGCTGGGACCCAGGGAGAGGGGTTTCCAGGTTGAAGAGCCTACGATGTGCTAATGAACCACAGAGATCAGTGGGCAATGAAACAGAGATGTGTGTGCATCTTACCACGGATTCTGCCCAGGAGGCCTCTCTAGGGCCAGGGGCCTAGAAGCAGGGTCTGATGACCTGTGCAATGGCCATCCCTCCCTATGCTATGGTATCAAGTGAGGCTGGGGGTTGGTGAGCTCTGGCCATGGAACAAAAGTGAACTTGACATGGGATTTCAGATGGAGCCTGACATCCAAGACTAGGACTGGGAAAGGCAGAATGCTGTCAGGCTCCCTTATCACGTCCCTCCATCTGGGCCCCACAGGGACTCGTCTTCCAGGGTAAAGGGTCTGGGGCTGCCCTGGAGATAAGAAAGGGGAGCAGTGGGGCTACACGATGCTTGAGAGCCAGGCCAGGGTGGGGATGAGTGCAAGGGAGAGAGGAGCCGACAAGGATGGTGCATGGTGGCAGCGTTAAAGTGGAGAGAAATCAGGCTGGGCACTGGGGGTTTGTTCTACAAGAGAAAAAGAAAGCCTGAGGAATTGGCCAGAGCCCGAGGAATAGCAAATCCACGTCTCACCCTCTCTGAGCCTCGTCCTCTCCGAGGTAAAGTGGGCCTGGTAGTAGCTACTTCGTGGGCTGTGGTGAGCATCCAGTGGCATAATGCATATCAAGTAAAGCACTTAGCTCAGTGGCTGCCACACAGTAGTGCTCAATAAACAGACACTATCTGTCTGAGTCTCATTCTGGGCAAGTCCCACCACTGCAGCCAGCCTTCCCAGTCTCCCACAGACAGCCTTCGACTCTGACACGGAGCCCAGGGGACCTGGGTTCTCACCTAGGCACTCTGGGTCACTGCCTGTCCAGGTGCCATTGACCGAGCAGTGCCGGCTGAGCAGGCCTGTGGCGTAGTAGCCTTCCCGACACTCATAGACGATGGAGCTGGAGAAAACCAGGCCGTCACTGAACACGACTCGGGCATTGCTTGGTGTCCCGGGGTTCCCACAAGAGATCACTAGGAAGCCAAAAGACCAAAAGAGCACATTACTCACCAGACAAGGGTCCCTTTGGGGGACCGAGAATTGCCCAGAGTGGGATCTGTGTGCTACATAGGGACCCTGTGGATGGAAACGCCTCTCACACGCTGTCACGTCTGATCGCCTCACTCTCCGAAGGGAAGGAGAGACCTGTATGGTTTTTCTCTAATTTCTAAAACATAAGGACTATATCTATTATTATTATCATCACATCTAAAAATCTAAACAATTCCTGCCTGGCCAGTGTGGCTCAGTGGTTGAGTGTTGTCCCATGCACCGAGGTCAGGGTACATGCCCTGGTTGAGGGCTCAATCCCCAGTAGGGGGTGCGCTCTCTCTCCCTCTCACTTCCTCTCTCTGAAATCAATAAAAACATAATTAAAAAAAATTAAACAATTCCTTAATATCTCCCAATACCTAATCCATGCTTAATTTTCCTTAATTGTCTCATATTTTTTTCCAGTTGATTTGTTTGAATTGTGATCCAAACGAGGTTCACATACGCCATTTGGCTGGTGTGTCTCTAAGACTACTGGGATCCAGAGATGACTGGTCCCTCTCCTGTGATTTATCTGTTACAGTAACCAGGGCACCTCATAGGGGGTTTTGTGCCTTTTCCATTGTGTCACATCAGGAGGCACAGAATGTCTGGCTGTTTCCTTGTTCCTGATGTCGAGGCTGATGAATGGGTTCTGGCACGAAAAGTTCCCATTCGTTCATCCCTCAATGGTTTTAGTAGCAATTGATGACTGTTGACTAGATTCCCTATTTTATTAGGGGACAAAAAAGGGAGATATTTTAACTCTATAATTCTCTCTGCATTCGCTAGACTTCTTTAATAAATAAAGAACATGCCCGTCATCAAATATTTGCTTACTCTGAAATACAATTCATACAGGAAGGCTGGATAATGCCTGATTATTTTTTTCATCAGACATCAGAACAATAAGTTGGTTCCCTACCAAGCTCCAAAGGTGACTGACAGTCATTTGCACTCATGGATTTATTTACTATGCCACTATTATTCTTATTGTTGCTCAAGTTATCCCAACTTTGGCTAGTGGGTGTCTTTTCTTGACTCCACTTGTCTGTGGTACCTTCCCTGCTGCAGTGACAAGATGCTCCCAGTTCACCTTTCTGTCTCCTACCCTGTCCTGGAAACAGCTATTTCTCCAGAGAGCTCCGGTTATGTTCAGTGGAGAATGGATTTAGAAACCATGGTCTCGGGGTCAAGGGTGCTCATTGGTTCTAGACTTTTAGAGTGGACAGAGCTGGGAAAATAACTTTCCAAACTGAAAATACACTATGAGCTTATACTGATATTACCAATCCACGTTTAGGATTCAGAGTTTTTCCTTAACTTAAAAATTTTTATATTATCTCTCTTTTATGCTGAAAATTTTGGTTCTTAATGACAAGAAATAATTTTAATTTGCTTTATCCATATATATTATGGTATTATATATGCAATAGTTTCAGAGTAGTAATACCAATATTATTACTTAACAGTATTGTTAAAAACAGTTTAAGGCTTCATTGCAGTTCTCTTTGTCCTTATGGTATATATAGTCAGATTTCTTTCAAGTTGGTTGAAGTAATTCTCTGGATTAAATCATCAACTTGACATGTAGTTAAATTCATTAGTTTCCATTTTGATTTTGATACTTAGAGATTCTTTTGTCATGGTCTCTTCCCTTCACCTGGAAGCTCCCAGAGGGACTGTGTGTCCGTTCTGGTCACCGCTGTGTCCCCAGCACACACGACAGTATCTGACACAGTTGTTGAATGAAATTATATGGGAAATAAATGAATAAATGGGCTAAGCTNAGAGGGACTGTGTGTCCGTTCTGGTCACCGCTGTGTCCCCAGTACACACGACAGTATCTGACACATAGTTGTTGAATGAAATTATATGGGAAATAAATGAATAAATGGGCTAAGCTTGGTTTATCCCGCTTTCCTCCCTTCTCAGGTGAGGGTGGGAAATAAGTTTGTCTTTCGATCACTCACGAAGATGAACGTGAACTATCTGTTGACATCCACCCTCCACGAGGCCCAGGGTTTTATCTGCGAGCGAGCAGGCGGCAGGGGGGCCGAGGGGAGAGCAGAAGGCCACACACGTTACCTCCGCACTCGGGCTGCGCGCCGCTCCACGAGCCGTTGGCTTGGCAGGTGCGCTCTGACGACCCCCGCAGCGCGTGGCCAGCCTCACAGCTGAAGCGCATCAGACTCCCGGGGGTGAAGCTATCCCCCAAACGGATGCCGTGCACCGGGATCCCAGGGTCACCGCAAATGCCCGTGCTGGTGCCTAAGGACCAGAACCAAACAAGCGCCGTTGTTTTTAGCATGGAAGGAAAGGGAGTGGGGGACTAGGAGAGAGAGACACCGGGCCGCTGGTAAGAGGAGGCAGTGGGCCCCACGCACGAGGGGGTGAAAACTGACTGTGTCTAACCCGTTACCCAAACAGGCTCCTGCCTTACTACTCAGCAGTCAAAGAGCAGAAAGGTCTGAGGTCACGGGTGAGTCCCTGGGGACCACCCAGCAAGGGAAGACGGCAGGCGGAAGGAAGGCTCTCTGCCTCCTCGCCTGCGCCAGCGTGGACGTCAGTGGTCCCAGCTGGCTGCATCTCCTCCCACTCCCCTTTCCCTCTTTTCCCCCAGTATCTGCTGATTCCAGAGTATCCTTCCCGTTCCTAGTCCCGCCAGCTTAGTCCCGATGCTCAGCATCCTCTTGCCTGAACTATTGCAAGAACCTGCTAACTAATGTCCCTTCCTCTGCAACCCTCCCTCTCCCGCGTCTTCCATTCATCCTCGGACCCGAACAACGGGCAACCGCCAGTCATCGGATCTTGTCTCTGTTCTGCTGAAACATCTTTGCTGGCTTCCCACTGCCTGTAGGATAAAGCCCAAGCTCCTCAGCACAGCTTCATCTCCTCAACAGCTCAGCCTGAATCCTGACCCTTTAACTGAGGATTCCCTCTTCACAAATTACACGGTACAGGTGAGCTCTGGATTCAACGGCTGAGACCCTCTCATCTCATCTCTTGCTTTGCTCCCTTCCTCCGGCTACATTTCTGCATTTATCTGGGTTCTGATATTGTACAAACCCGCCCAACCAACACCTTTCACAGTATGGAGATGTGTGAGACACATCACTGGGTCGGGACAGGCCATGGGTCGCATGAGAAAGGCAGGGGAAGATTAAGGAATAAGTGGCAACTGCATGAAAGACCAAGTTTCCAGCTGATGCGAAGTGTTCCGCCTCATGAAGCCACATGTGTGGGCATCAAATGGCAATGTCTGAGTGACCGCATTTAGTTTGTGAGAGTAAAGAAATGTTTAAATCATGTAAAACCCACCACTGGCCATTTTCGTCTCTTTCTCTCAATCCTGGAATTATGAGAATAGCATGTTCCCCACTCTGTTCCCGACCAAGGAAGGGGGATTCATTCAATCTTCAAATCAAACACTTAAAAAAGAGGGCCCTTTGAAACAGTGGCTAGTGCTTTGCAAATTTCTCCTTTCTGGGGAGACCTACCTAATATATGGTTTGATATTCTGGAAGTGCCCTAAATTTTGGGAGAAAGGATCACCTGGGAATCTCACACTGTGAGAACAGCTGTATCCTATCTAGTTTGCAATCTCTTGGCTGTGTGAACTTGCCCAGAGCTAAGGGGATGAAGCTGGGCTCAGACCACCACGGGCTGAGGTCCAGATGGGACCTCTGATAGCTCTGCTCTCTCTGCCTGTTAGGGACGAGATGAGGGTCTGAAAGGTCTGCCTTCCTCCCGTCCTCCTAGCACAGTCACCCCTTGGGACTCGTCCACCTCCCATTAGCCAAGCGTTCCCTCGGACCCCTCTCCCCCACGCCAGCCCCATACCTGAGCAGTGGGGCAGGGAGCCTGTCCAGTGTCCGTCCAGCCCACACATGCGGGTGGCGTTTCCCACCAGAGTCCGCTTGCCAGTGCAACTGTAACGCACAACCGCGCCCACAGTATAGTTGTCCCCGGACATGTGGGAATGGGGCGGGGAGCCCGGATGGCCACAGGACACCACTGTGGGGAAGAGCAAACGTGAGCGTGGAGCTTTCTTCCCCTCCCCTTTGAATCTGAACTGGCCTTGCCGCTTGCTTTGACCACTGAATGTGGTGAAAATGACATTTGACTGGCTGTGGCCTGAGAGGCCTGGCAGCTTCTGCCTTCATTTTCTTGGAATCCTATCGCCACCATGTGAGGAAGTCTGGCCTAGACTACTGCATGGTAAGAAGTCACGTGGAGGCAAGGACCATCTGGAAAACACCACAATGCCCTGGCTGACAGCCGGCACCAAGTTCCCTGACATGTGAGTGAGACACCTTGGATCTGCTAGTCCCCATCAAGTCACAACAGCCAATAACAAGTGAAGCAGAGATGCACTGTCTTCACCAAACCCTGCCAACTGTAAGCAATAAAATGTGGTTACTCTAAGCTACTACACTTTGGGGTGATGTGTTACATAAGCGATAACTAACACAAAGTGAACATGACTTCGGAGGTCTCGACGGTGAGGGATTGTGAGCTGCATTGGGAAGAATATGAGCTGCGGTCTCCAAAGGGCCGGCGTGGTGCACCGCCTGCAAAGACGCCCGCCGCAATTGCTCCCGCCCCTGCGCCCGTGCCGCGCTCCCCGCCCTAAGGGTGGGCTCCGTCATTTCCCCTCCCCTCGAACCTGGCTTGGTCTTATGATTTGCTTTCCACAGAATGCGGTGGCACGAGGTTTTGGGAATTCTGAGCTCTGGCCGTAAGATTTTATCACTTCCTCAATCTATAATCAAAAACTTTGCTCTTGCCAGTTTGGTTGAGTGGTTAGAGCGTTGGCCTGTAGACTGAAGGGTCCTGGGTTCAAGTCCAGCCAAGGGCATGCACCTCGGTTGCAGGCTCAGTCGGGGTTTGTGCGGGAGGCAACCAATCCATGTGTTTCCCTCACATCGATGTTTCTCTCTCTTTCTCATTCACTCTCTGAAAAGCAATGGAAAAAATATCCTCGGGTGAAGATTAAAAAAAATAAAAATAAATAAAATTTTTTTATCAAAGAAAGCCCAGGGCCAGTTAACTTCACTTCTGAATTCTATCAAGGTTTTACAGAAGAATTAACACCAATTTTTCTCAAAGTACTCTTAAAACTAGCACAGAGGACTCTTTCCAACTCCTTCTGTGAGGTCCATATTACCCTGATACCAAAGCCAGACAAAGACATCATAAGGAAGAAAAACTACAGACCAATATCCTTTATGAACATAGTTGTAAAAATCCTCAATAAAATACTAGCAAACCAAATCCAGCAGCATAATAAAAGGATTATACACCGTGACCAAGTCTGATTTGTTCCAGGAACACAAGAGTGGTTCAACATATGAAAATTAATCAGTGTAATACACCATATTAATGGAATGAGGGGAAAAAACCCCCACATGATCATCCCAATAGATTCAGAAAAATCATCTGACAAAAATCCAACACCCTTTCGTGATAAAAATGTTTAATAGGCTCGGAATAGAAGGGAATGTCTTCAGTCTGATCAAGGGAATCCACGAAACCCCACAGCTAATCGCTACAGACGGAAAGCTTCCCCTCTGACCAGGAACACGACGAGGGTGCCTGCCCTTCCCACCTCTATTCAACACTGGCTGGGAGCTTGAGCCGGGCAGTGAGCTAGAAAAAGATGTAACAGGCACCCTGTCTGGAAAGGAGTAAGGAAAACTATGCCTAGTCACAGGTGACATGACCTTGGTGACACTGCATTAGGCCGGTGATCTGCAGCCGGGGCGCTGCAAGAATTTTTAGAACATGCAATAACCCAACTATTTAGTCAGGGGCACTGACCCCCTTTCCCTCAGATTATCAAATAAATAAATAGACAACAGCCAGCACAACAACAGAAGCCTGGTGTGAGTGAATCAAAATTATAGTTCTTTTTGGTCAGATCGGCAAAAAATATATTTTTTGGTGTGCCAAAGAATTTTAGTAATTAGCTTGTGTGTGCCATGAGGTGAAAAAGCTTGAAAATCGCTAGATTAGGCAATGGTTTCTTAAACACTCCACCAAAAGCACAAGCAACAAGAGAGAGTCAATAAAGGACATTATTCAGAAAATGAAGATAATCCACAAAATGGAAGAAAAATGTTTGCAAATTATGTATCTAGTATGAGTATAGTATCCAGAATATATAAAGAACTGTTAAAACTCAACAATATAAACAACTCAATTAAAAAATGGGCAAAGAACTTGAATAGACATTCCTCTAAAGACGAGATACTAGTGGTCAATAAGCACATAAGACGATGCACAACAACACAAGTCATCAGGGAAATGGAAGTCAAAACCACAATGAGATACCACCCAGCCCCATTAGGATGGCTATAATGAAAAAGATGAACCATGGACAAGTAACGTGGAGAAACTGGAACCCTCATACGCTGCTGGGAGCGACGTAAAATGGTGCAGACACTCATTGGAAAACAGTTCTCTTCAAAATATTAAAAATACAGTTACCATATGACCCAGCATTTCTACTCCTAGGTATATATCCAAGAGAACTGACAACATATGTTCACACAAAAACTTGAACATAAATGCTCATAGCAGCATTATTCATAACAGCCAAGAAAGTGGAAACAGCTCCTATGTCTATCAGCTGAGGAATGGATAAAGAAAATGTGATACATCTACACAACAGAATAGGATTTGGCCATAAAAAGGAATGAAGTATTTGATAAATGCTATAGCATGAGTGAACTTTGAAAACCTTATGCTAAGTAAAAGAAGCCAGTCTCAGAAGGCCATATATACAATTCCATTTACATAAAATGTCCAGAATAGGCAAATTCACAGACAGAAAGCAGATTAATGATACCAGCGGAGAGGGCAGTGGTGGAGACTGGGAAGTGACTGCTAAAGGGTTTCCTTTTGATGTAATGAAAATGTTCTGGAATTAGATCATGGTGAGAATTGCAAAACTTTGTGAATATATTAAAATCACTCAGTTATAGTCTTTGAAAGAGTAAGTTTTATGGTGTGTGAATTATATTTCACTAATAGAAGAAAAACTGCAAATGGATTAAATCTTCCAAAAGAAGCTGGTTATTAATTCAAGTCCAGGTCCGCCTGCCTGAAGAGTCCGTGGCATTTCTGCTTTAGCCCTTCAAAGAAAGGACCGTGTTGTCTTCTGGGAAAAGCCAGGAAGGGGTGAAACGGAGGCAGTGTTCCACCAGGCGGCCAAGTCTCGAGGAGAGAACCCTGAAGGCTGCAGAGGCTGGCGGCAGCCCTAGAGGGGGAACAGGCCTCCAGCCAGGGAGAAAGAGAGCATGTGAAGGGGTGAGGGAACCTACCCAACAGGGGCCCAAGACGGGCTCTGACATTCAGCCAGAGTGACCATCACTGTGAAGTAACACACAGACACATGCATGCACATGCACACAGAGGGGAGTACAGTTCTTTGACATGACCCATCCTGCATAGGTGATCGTTTGGAGTAGATGACACCTACTTACAGAGACACTGGGGACGGGGGCGGTCCCATGTGCCATCTCCCTGGCAGCTGAGCACCGGGGTGCCCAGGAGGTAGAAGCCATGGTTGCATTGGTAAGACACCGTGGTGCCATAGCTGAACCTGTGCAGGCCGCTGGCATGGACTTGACGAACGCTGTGTTCTTGGTGCCCAGGGTCTGTACAGTTGATGACTGCAATGGAACGGGACAATTAGATGCAGGCTAATTGCATATTCATCTGCTTTTAAATGAGAATTCGGAAACCCAAACAGGCACATGATCCCAGCATAGCAAAATTTCTAGGCTGAAATAGGCAACATGAAGCAGATCCGGCCTGGGAGGGTGAGCTGGTCCTCAGGCTGGTACTTCTCGCACCTTGATCACCAGTTAAGGGACTCATTCTCGCATGTCCAGCTCGGTATCAGCTCACTGAGAAGCCTTCCCACCTCCTCTCAGGCTGGTTAACCTCCCCTCTCCGTGTTCCCATGCACAGAGGTCTCCTGCAGACTGTACCAGCCTAGACAGCGATTTGTTTGAGTCCCCGAGTCCCCCGAGGGCATGGCTGCCTGATCTGTGTGCCTGATCCCAGCCCAGTGTGACTCTTGCAGCAAAGCTCGTCAATCGCAAAACCCACGCATCAGGGCTGACTTGAACAGGGGTTGTGGCTCTTCTGGAAACTGTTTTAATCACTTTTATGAGTATTCCAGGGAGAGATTAATATCCTGGGGGATAAATTTGACTTTTAAATGTTAAAGTGTTTCCAAAGCAGCTTAACTCAAAATCAGAGGGCAATTTTAGAATAATGACAATATCATTTATAACTCATGTTGTGTACTTCTGCTTTCAAAACACTTTCACTGCCATTATCTTGCCTGAATCTCAGAGGCATCAGGGTAGGTATTTTAAATCTTTGCTAAGCTTTTAAGGTATATGATATTTGTACCACTGATAAGCCTCTCTGAGGCTCAGAGAGGTTGGCATCACAAAACAAGTAAGTGGCATTTATTCACTCACACTATTTACTGTGGTAGACTGAGTGCCAAGCACTGTGCTGCTGGTAGTAAGGAGACCACGGAATTTACAGTCTAGAGTTTCTCCACTTGGGCATTTTGGACATTTTGGGCTGATGATTCTTTGTCGTGGGGTGGTCCTGTCCATTGTAAGATGTTTAACAGCATCCCTGGCCTCTACCGGCCAGATGCCAATAGAAACCCTCCAGTGTGACAACCCAAAAGGTGTCCAGCACCTGTCCCTTGTCAGGGAAGGGGGATGGGTAAAATCATCCCCAATTGAGAACTGCTGGTCTGGAGAGAAGAACAAATGAGCGATTATCCTGTTTGGTAAGTGCTCTGATAGGGGCAGCAGAGAATGTTCTGGAAGCACAAAGCAGATCATCAGAGCAGGGGGTAGACCCCAGAGCAGGGGGTGGTGCAGGGACGGCTCCCCAAGAGAAGCCATATTTCAGCTGGCTCTTGGGGTCTGGGTACAAGTCGCCCAGACAAAGAGGGGTTGGTGAGGGGGACAGAGAAGAAAGACTTCGTTTGAGGAAACGGTTTGGGAGTGTCCTGGGGGTGCAGGGGCACAGGGCACAAGTAGGGAGATGGAAGAGGTTCAGCGAGGCTGGGGGCAGATGCAGTGAGGGAAGATGAGGGTGGGCAGGACGGGGCCACGTCCCTCGGGCCTGCAAACAGGTAGAGAGGGGAGGGCTTTCTCCTAGGGCAGCGGGAAGCCTGGGAAGGGGCTTCAACCAGGAGCGGCTGGATCAGGTTTGCATTTTAGACAGGTGGCTCCATCAGGGTAGAGAAGGGACTGGTCCCATGGTCTCTAAGGGTTTTGCCCCCCAGTTTCGAGACCGGTGGTGGGGGCAGGGGGCAGGTGTAGCTGAAGGTACAAGAGCATCTGCATCTTGCTTTGTGGGGATGAAGCACAGGTCCTGAGGAGGAGGGAACGTGGGGTAACAAACACCCCAAAGGGGCAGGCCTCAGCTTCTCCCACCTGAACAGATGGTGGAAGGGAGGCACAGAACAAGGTCTTGGCTATTTTCCTCTGTGTTCTCTGGAAACTTCTCTCACTCAAAATGGCATCTTGAAACGTTAAGAGAAGGATGCTATTTTAGGATTAGCTGTGAGCGTATCTTAATTTATTTTTAAAAAATCATTTGAAAACTGGCCCTTTAATATCCCTTGCAAATGAGCTGTGTCACGTTGCACAGCCGATCACCACGCACCCCCAGTGCTGCGAGGGGAGCCATGGTCAGGGGGCCTCAGCCCTGCTCCCTGTGAAGAACTGGCCAGCCTCCAGGTTGGGGGCGGCTGGGCTCTCGTGTTCAAAGCACTCTGACTCTCCGCCTAAACGTTGCTGAGGGGCCTGGCCACCCTTGGTAAGTGGCAGACGGCTCCGTTTGCCCTTTCCCGCTGTCAGCAGCCTTGGAAAGCGTCAGAGGTGACTTTCCAAACAGTCCAGGTGGGGCCAGAAGATCCTCTACGCAGAAGCTGCCTGAGTCCTTGGTTTCCCTTTTCCCTCCCCTGTGTCAACCCAGCCCCAGACTGTTTGCTTTTTACTTTTCATCTGAACCCCTCTACTTTCTTTCATCAAGAATGGGGCTCTAGGAGATGAATTAGTGGTTTACGAAATGTAAACAAAAAGATTATTCTCTATGTCTGTATTGACAGATGAAACTTCGTTTGCTTTTTTTTTTAATGTAACCAATGATGAAATTTTCCATGGCTGTATCTAGGGGTTGAGAAAGTCCCCATTCATAAATAAATGTCCCAAGTCTTCCCTATCTGAGTCAAAATAACGGCAGGATTGAATCCAAGGGCTTTTGCTCGGGGGTTACTGAGCCACAGATGGCAGAGGTACCAGGGGCAGAGTGGGAGCAGGAGGGTGACTCACTTCTGCAGGTGGGCAGCGTGTCGCTCCACTGCCCGTTGGCCAGGCACTGGGACCCAGCGGCGCCCTCAGACACATAGCCAGGGTTGCAGACAAACTTGACCACATCGTTGAGGTTAAACTGGTTGCCCTGAGTGAGGCCGTTGATAGGATTGCCTGGGTGTCCACAGGTGATTGCTGTAACCAGAACAGGAGATAGGTAAGCCCTTCTGTTACTCCACAACCCAAGAAGTTCTTCCTCTTCTCACCTGGCATATCTCATGCACACCAGGGAAGTTTAGCCATATGTCTAACTTTAGTCTCTTCTGCTGCAAAACCTTTATTTCCTGATATCCTCATGGGACATCCCTTCTTCCTTGAAGGCATGTCCATGGCTTGGACAACTGGAAAGAAATGATTCCATGACTCCCCACTGGGCATTAGGCCTGGACTGTAGTTCTCTGTCATCCAGCAACACAGTCCTGCCTCATTTCCTGCCTCCATCCCCGTGGCTCCCCATCTCCACTCTTCATTGTTGGATACACTGATGACCACCCCTCAGCTGACTGAGACCCACCCTAGCTCCTGGGCCAATCTTGTCAGGCCCAGGGTCAATATTAACCAAGCCTGAACAGAGGGAGGGGTCACCTTGCCAGACCAGTGGCCAAGGTCAACCCCAGGAACCAGAGTTGTAAGGAGATGGTGGGAGAGTGGAGACAGGCTTCGTGGGGTCTGTGGATCCACTGAAATGATATGCAGAATATTGGGTGTGTGCAATCAGCTTGGGAGAGGGCCCGTCATTCTCAGCAGGTTCACAGAGTCAGGCCCCCCTTCCCCAGGTTAAAAACCACTCGTATACAGTGAGAGGAGAGCTGAGGAGGAAAGCTTTGGGAGGGCAGATCCACCAAAATGCCTGCAAAGGAAACTGAGGGGGCATCAGCAAAGTAGAAAACCGAAGTTGGACAGATGGTGAGAGTGTCACAGGAACCAGGGGGAGAGTTTCAAGAAATGTCAGACACCCAGATAGGTCTGTTTCTTGGAGAACCCAGGCTGCAAAGGGGAGAGGGAGAAACGTCACTAGGAAGGAAAACCAGGGTCCCATGAAGCTGAAGCACATGGACCACTGGACCCAAATGTCCTGAGCGGAGAGACGATGACCATTCAATTCATCTTTATCCACAACACCTAACACGATGCCTGGTGCATCGTAGGTGCCACAGAACTGTTTATTGAACGTGGCCTTATAGGCTGAGGGAAATTAATAGAAAGGGAAGGTCGGCAGTTCAGAGGAGAGAGTTAAAAACAGACTAAGCTCATGAAGGAGGGAGGAGGAAAGAAGATCCAGAGACTCAGGCAGAACCTTGGGCCTGGGGAGAGTCTTCTATTGAGGCGAGAGGGACGGGGCGGTGGGTGCAGACAAGGACAGGGTGTGGGTGGGAAGCAGGTCGGGGAGGGAGCTACTGTCTGACGGCTTCTAATATTGCTGCAAAATAGGAAGTGAGATTATATAGTTGGCTACTGATTACTGGGGTTTATATACATTATTTCCTTTAATCCCAACAGCCCTGCAAGGCAGGCACCATCGTTACCCTCAAGGAAAAACAGAAGGGACACAGTTCCCAAGTGGTTCCTCTGAGTTTGAACACAGCTTCTCTGACCCCAGGCCATCTTAGCTATCTGCTGAGAAGCCGGGTGGAGGAGATGGAGTGTGAGGCTTCAGGAAAGAGGTGGAGCTGTAAAACAGCGGAGAGGGATTGCTGGAAAGCTCTGACGATCCGGGAAACCTTGAGTTTATACACATGTGATGGCAGCTAACACGGTGCCTACCGCAGAGTAAGCCCTTGTAAATATTTGTTCATTTACTCTTGCCTTCCTGCTCCAGATACTCCCCAAACTTCTGCGCTCCAGGAGAGAATAGGGCTTGGGACACAAGATCCTGGATTCTGTGATGTGACAGGTGGTGGCATCACCACCACCACCACCATCACTGTCATCGGCACAGCAATGTTAATGACAGACGCGTCTGGTTGACATCTGTATCAGGCACTGGTCTAATTTTTATTTTATTATTTTATTATTTTATTTTACTGTTCTGACCATTTTATATATATTAATTTATTTAAACTTTATAACACCCTTTGAGGTACCTGTGCTTTATAGATGAGAAACTGAGACCCTGTGAGATAAGCTAACTCATCTAAAGTCATAAAACCATATGACACATGGCGATAGGTCTGGGATTTGAACCCAGGCGATCCAGGTCCAGGGTCTGCCTGTCTAAATACTTTACAGCCTTTCAGTCTGGACCAGGTCTGCAATATCTTTAGGTCAAGCAGACATTCTCTATTTAATTCCAGACCCCAACACCCCCTGTTCTTTATAACCCAATCTATTCACACACAGTCTGTGCCAATTTCCTGAAGGCGTTTGACGTTTTTTCTCCTGAATGAAACCAAATATATTTTCTTCATACACATCTAGAAGACGGAGTGAATAGAGACGGGCCTTGCTTTCGGTAAACTTAATACTTTAGAAGCAATTAAGACCCATTTTCATGGATTGCTCATTGAGCAAGTCTCATTATTTCATTGCTCCGTCTCATATACAGAAAGCCAAATGAAGAAAAAAAGAATTAAAAACAAAAACCGGCCTTACAAAAAATTAAGAACACAGCCTTTACAGAAAGGCTTACTTTAGGGAGCATTAAAAAGTGAAGAATTTTCCAAATTACTTCCCGGCAGCTGAGAATAACGGTGGTCACCCAAGTCCCCAAAATGCAGATGAACAGGAAGAACAAATAAAGCTGCAGAAAGCCCGGGCCTGTGGCATAACTGGAAGACAGAGAACGCTATAAACTTTAAATTATGTGCAAGCAGGACAACCAACACTCAGCCCCGGCAGAACTACTTCTGCCTCAGATGCGAGCGTCTGCGGAGCCCGGGCTGCAGGGAAAGACGACAGGGACGGAGGGGGCCCTGCCGGTCTAAAGTCACTGCTAGAGGGAGGATGCTCGTCTCCACGGGCCCCAATGGAAGAAGGGACGTATGTCAGGATGCACTGACTACAGGGAGGGGCAGAAACGCGTCTGTGATGCTCTCGTTGCTTCTAGAAGAAAAGGAAGGTGAACAAACAAAGGAAGGAAGGAAGGGGGAGGTGGAGGGGGGAAGGGAGATAGAGGTAGAGGAGGGATGTCCTCTGGAGACTGGTAACAAAGGGAAAAATTAACAAAAGGGGGGAAATTTGGGGCCCTGCAATGACAAAAGCGAAACAAACCAACAAAATGGAGAATAAACAACTTTCCCTTATCACACACAAGGCGGCCTTCTATTAAAAAACAACACGAATCTATCCATTTATCCAACAGCGCTTGCTGAAGACGCTGCCATCACTGCCGCGGGTATTTTTACCTTCTTTGTCACAGGTTAGTTGGCCATATAAATGCGGGTTTATTTCTGGGCTCTCTATTCTGTTCCATGGAGCTATGTGTCTGTTTTTGTGCCAGTGTCATACCGTGTTGATCACCATAGCTTTGTAGTGTAGTTTGAGAGCAGGGAGCATGATGCCTCCGACTTTGTTTTTCTTTCTCAAGATTGCTTTGGCTAGTTGGGGTCTTTTGTGGTTCCATGTAAATTTTAGGCTTATTTGTTCTAGTTCTGAGAAGAATGATGTTGGTATTTTGATAGGAATTGCATTGAGATATGGAAGCAACCTAGGTGTCCACTGATGGGTGAATGGATAAAAAAGATTATACACACACACACACACACACACACCATGGAATATTACATTGCAATAAAAAAGAACAAAAAGGGGAAGGGGAATATAGTCAATAATATTGTGATACATTTACACAGTGACAGATGATTACTAGAATTAGTGGGGTGATCACATTGTGAAGTGTAAAAACGGTGAGTCACTATATTATACACCTGAAATTAATATAACCAATGTAAGATTGCAGACCAACTACAGTTAAATAAAAAATAAATTTAAAACAAACCAAAACAATCGTATTTTGCTACACTGACAGAAGAGGGCGCTCTTGTTAAACCTCCCTAAAGCCACAAACGAATAGAAAATATTAGCCTAAATCTATACAAAACTGTGACAAAACGAAAACAGAAAGGAATCAAAACATCTCAGCTGGTGAAAATCTCATCCAAAACAAAACACATGAAACACAAGAAAACTGTAACAAGACTCTAAACTGAATTCAATATTAACACATAAGCATCTGGAGATATGAAAACCATCTTGAGAATCAGAAAATAAAAAAAACTAAAACAAGACATGGAGAAAACGTGGGAGAAAATTAAAAGATAATTGATGGCACTGCAGAAAAGAATTGAAGAAAGGACGCAGTTACCTTAGAAACAACGACTAAATTCCAAGAGGGAGAATATTATCAAATGGTGTAATTTACTAGGAGGTGTTGAAGAAAGTCAGGAAAAAAACCAAGGGAATTAAAATAAGGTAAAGGAACAAGTAAAAATGATCAGAGACACAGAGGCTGAAACAGAAGATAGGCAAAAAAGATCCCACATACACGTAATTAGAGCTGATTTAGGAGGAAAGCAAAACAGTGGGCTTGAATTAGTGTTTAACACTATAATTCAAGAAAATGTTTCAGAAATGAGACTTGAATATACACGTTTGAAGTCCACAGTAAAACTAGGGAAGTTGTCTTGGAACATTCAAGTCAGGCATGTCCTAGTAAAAATCTGAGACTTCCAGGATCGAGAAAAAAACAACCATCAGGGCCCCAAGAAAAGCCACCAAGTAACTTACAGGAACAATACAGGGCGTCCCCAAAATGTATACACACTTTAACAGCCGATAGCTCAATTCTGAAAATTAAATGTACTTTAATAAACACTGCCTTTGTAATTATTCAAAGTGTGTGTGTACCTTTTTTTGGGACACCCTATGGAATTAAACTAATATTTGAATTCCTCAGAGTGACATGCAAAGCAAAGTCATGGTAGAAGAGCATTTTTAAGAAAGTCAAAGAAAGAAAGAGTGACCAAGGATTTTATGTACAGTCTAGCTATCTTTCAGGCTTTCAGGTTCAGATAAATAGTTTTAAATATGCAAGAACTTGGGGAACATTATGCAAAGGAGGCATTATTGAGGAACTGACTAGAGACTGAGTTTGACCCAACTAAGAGGTAACTGGGCAAATTTCAGCAGCATTGGTGAGCTCTTAATACATTTAATGGTAGAACGCGGAGTAAAATAAAGGTAGGGAAAAGGGTACAATGATATTACATAAACACTATAATAAACATTTTATGTTCTGACAAAGTAGAAATAATGCAACTAAAGATGGAAGGAGAAAGGAGCGAGGACAGGAAAGCAGAATAGGCTCATTGATTGTTGTTGAGTCCATACGTGAAAGTCAAAAGATACTGTTAAAAATTGATAAACTACATAATAAATGGTTATATAAGAAAATGGGGGATGGGGTGGCTAATGGCATTACGATGTTATAAGAACAAAATGCTGCTTATGATGTTAAGGATGAATGTGAGGATTGTAAGCCTAATATCAGGCACAGTACAATTCAAGTCAAAAAGTATTAAAAGTGACAGGGAAGGCATTTTTAAAGGCTAAAACCACAATCTCCAATGCAGATGTAATAGTTATGAATATCTGTGCACCAAATAACACAGCAACTATTTTATGTAGCAGAAATTACAGGAAATGAAAGGAAAAATAGAGGCACAGCAATAACAGAAAACTTTAAAACACACCTCTCAGAACAAAACAGGTAAAGTAGAGAAAAAAATAAAAAAGTGTACACAAGGCATAAACAACAACCAATAAGGCACATCTCATGACTCTCTCTATAGAAATTTACACCTGCATACCCTTTCTTCTCAAATGCACAAGGAACACTCATAACGACTGATCAAACATGAAGCCACAAAGAGAGCATCAGTAAATTCTAAGAAGTAGAAAGGTTATGTGCAATGCAATAAAATTAGAAATAAATAACAAAATAAAAAAGTAAAAGGTCCTTTACCTGGAATTAAAAAAACACTTTTCTATTTAAAAACTTCTGGGTGAAAAGGGGAAATGAATACCAAAATTGCAGAATTTATGATAAATAATAAAACATGAATTATTGTCATCTATGGGATACAATTAGAGCAGTGATTAGAAGACATTTCCTAACCCTAACCACTTATATCCATGACAATCAGTAGAAATGAAAGAATGAAAATAAGTGAATTAAATTCCCAACAGACAGAAAATGAACAAAAAAGTTAACCAAAAGAAATCACACGGAAAGAAATCACAAAGGTGAACGCAATAATTACTGATACGCAGAAAACCAGAAACAACAGGTGTAATAATTGCATCTTTAAAAAAAGTACGCAGAAGCCCTGCTAAGCTAAGGAAGAGGACAAGGGAGAAGGCCGTGTGGAAGCCGGCCGTGCCGGCGGAGCGGGCCACATACTTACGCACACAGAAAGGGGTCTTGCCCGACCAGCGGTGGTCCTGCTGGCAGATGCGCACGGACATGCCGATCAGGCGGAAGCCGGCGTCGCACTGGTACACCACGCTGCCCCGGTAGCTGTAGTTCTCCCCGTTGATGTGGCCGTTCACGATGGGCTCGGGGGTCCCGCAGTGCCCGGCTTGGACGGGGATGGGGAGAGAGTGTAAGCCAAAGAGGGGCTTACAGAAAACGAGGTGGGGCTTGGTCAAGGTGGGGGAGACGGGTGGTGGGGAACAGGACCCAGTACCCAACCGCCCATTGCTTTCCCACCTCCCCTGGGCAGGAGCCATCCAGGAGTGACTTTAGGAATCCTAGACATGATAGACACAGTGTTGAAGACTTGGCAACCCCAAATTTCAAGGTTGCAGCCCATATGACCATCCGTCTCTGACCTTTAGTGTCTGTGTCTACGCGCAGGTGAGAAATGATCTGTCACCTCCTTGCACACACAGCCCCTGCCCCATTTTTTCTCATCAACCGGCATTTCCTGAGCACCTGCCATATGGAGGGGCTGCAATCTATAGTACGGCAGTCAAAGCCTGGTTGTGTTGAAAATAAACCATGTAAGATCAGGTGGTCCGCTCAACTCCTTCCTTCTCCGTGAGGGGCAACCCACACAGATGATGCAAGCCCAGGTGAGCTATTTTTATCAAATGGGGCTTGGGTAGAGCGTATTCCCAGCATTTCCATGAGCGCTTTGGCTCTGTGTGAACTCAACAGGGGCCTCAGACAGTGGGGAGGCAGCACTGGGCACCCTGGAACAGACCATCCAATTATGGTATTAGGTTTGTGTAGTTGGGACCCTCCTTTGCAATTGAGGGGCCCAAGAAAGGAGTGAGAGGAGAGAGAGCCATAGTATCTAAGGTTTGGGCAGGGGATGGGTTAACCATGGGGGAAAACAATAATTTTGTTCTTTGTAAGCCAGGTTTTTTCTTTTTTTATTAGTGTGTCACAGCTTATTTTATATGTGTGTATATATAAAATGTATAGAATAAGCAAGTGACAAAAATATATTTCTATATTATATAATATCTGTAAGATACATGTATGTGTAAAATTTGCTAATATATAATATAAAAGGTATTTTAGGTGCGTCATAGGAATGTATCTTTGTACATTGCCCATCATTCAAGTACCAATAATAAGAGGCTGTCTGCTCAAAATGAGAACCCCTCACAGGCCTGTCTCACCAGACTTTAAGTTGTTCTCATTCTTTGGGTGCCCCAAGGAGCTAGTTTAGGGTTTTAGTCATGGTAGATGCCCAACAGCTGATGTTTGCATTGGGCCTTTTATGAAAGTAGGTAACATGCTACTGTTCTAAGATTGGGATCCCACTTTACAAAGATCTAACCTGTCCTGAGATGGGAACAATGGGCAGGATAGGCCTGGGGAGGTCACTTACCAAGGCAGTGGACTTCAGAGCCACTCCAGAGCCCGTTGGCCATGCACTCCCGCACCCGGGAGCCCACCAGCGTGTATCCGGAGTTGCAGGAGAAGATGGCTGTTGCCCCATAGACGGACAAAGTTCCGATGCGGTGCCCATTGGGTGGGATGGGGAGCTCTCCACAGGAGATGACTGAAGAGATAACAAAATGCTCAGTAAACCCGCCCCAAGAGGAAGGACACGTGCAGCTTCTGATTAGCAAGAATACGACAAAAAGAGGATCTGTGTAACCTAACTCTACTGGGACTCATGACCAGAATACGGGTCATGACAGTGACTTGTGTGATGTTGCACTGGAGCAGGGATTCTCACCTGGAGGTGTTCTAGAAGCACCTGAGGAGCTTTACAAATGTCCAGGCTGCACTCTGAACCATGACTCACAATCTCTGGCCCCGGCAAGTGCATTTTTAAAAAGTCAGGTGGTTCAGACGTGCACCCTGCTAAGGAACCACCTGACTATGGAATCGGTAATTCAGGGGTGTTCGGAGCAGACACTGCAGATCAATTTCCGTGTCATTTCTGCTGCGCCCGCGCTGCCGGTAGCCACCGGCTGACATAGGGTGAGGCCCAACGGCCAGGGCTGCGCTGGAAGGTGAGCCCCTTCACTGCAATAAGCTGTGTCACGCTCATGACCCCCACTCGGCCACATATGTGGTTATGTTCCACGGTGGGGTCTGCACTTGGGTGATAAGACAACAGTGTCCTGGATCACAGGTCTGGGAAGGCACCACTCCTCTCAGTCTCAAACTTCCCACGGCTCACTGACCAGCAACCTTCTTCTGTTCCTTTTCAAACTCTTACTTCCTCAATGACATATCCTTATTGATTAGGTAAATATTATGAGCGTATCCTATTGTAGCGGATGCTGTGGTGAGTCACGCAGGCCCCCATTTAGGACTGAAGGATTTACTTCCCCCGCTGCTGGCCCTCTTCAGGTTGCCTTGGGTGAGGAGTCCTCCCATCTAAAGACGAGCTCTCTTCCTGGGGCAGCCTGCACCCAACTCGGTCAGTGTAGAGGTAGAAAGGCCCTTGAGACAACAACCTGTGACAATTCTGAAGGGTCATCCCAGCTTCAGAGCTCTCTGTGAGGGCGGCTGAGGCCTTCACTGCTACTGCATCAGAGCCCGAACTCTTCGTCTTCCCAGTCCCGTCTCCTTCCCTCCCTTCCTTCCACAGCCAGTGATCCCAGGAGCGCTCCCTAACAAGCCTCTGTCTTAGAGGGCTTCCCAGGGACCCTGAACTTTGAAACTATCATGAAGAACCAAAGAAAAACAGTTTGCAATGGAGGAGGACGGGCGGACACACTTAGGTGGCCTGTGCCTGTGCTATGCCCATTCCTCTTGCACACACTCCTGTTACAGGTCTTATCGCACCCCACTGCCACTGTGCTTATCTGTCTGCCTCTCTAGTAGACTACAAGCTCCTTGCGGGCAGGAGCCACAAACTTTTATCTTCATACCTCTATAATATCTGGCTGAATAAATAAATTAGTGGATGCTCACTTGGACAGAGACAGCTGTTTTTTTTTAAATTCTCACCTGAGGATATTTTTCCCATTGCTGGTCAGAGAGAATAGAAAGGAGAGAGAGAGAGAGAGAGAAACATCGATGTACACACATAGGTTGGCCTCCCACACACACCCTGACCTGGGCGGAGCCTGCAACTGAGGTTTTGTGCCCTTGGCCAGAATTGGACCAGGGACCCTTCAGTCCTCGGGCTGACTCTCTAACATCTGAGCCAAACTGGCTAGGGCAAGGGCAGCTTTTTAAAAAGATGACAAGATGCTAAGAAGTATGTCCTTAAAGTAGTAAGCATCTCCCTAGCTCCTGATTCCAGGTGTGTTCTCTTCTCCCCTCCCCATGTATAAGGCAGTTCAGGTAGGAGGCACTGAGCCAAACTTGCCCACCCTCCTCCCTTCCCAGACTTACTTTGGCAGGTGGGCATAGAGTTCCCGAGGCTCCATTGGCCATTGGCCTGACAGCGGATGACCCTCTGTCCGGTGTAGTAGTAGCCAGGGTCACAGATGAGCATCAGCTGGGCCTGGAACTGGTACTGCGTCTCGAAGACGAGCCTCCATCGGCCATGTTCCACACCAATGCTGCTGACATCAGGACAGGTCACAGCTGGGTAGACAAGGGGTGGTGAGGAGGATTCATTAACTATGGAAGACACCGGCAAGAGTCCGGAGCTGGGGACTGGCAGACGGCAATGATGAATCNAGGACAGGTCACAGCTGGGTAGACAAGGGGTGGAGGAGGATTCATTAACTATGGAAGACACCGGCAAGAGTCCGGAGCTGGGGACTGGCAGACGGCAATGATGAATCCAAGTGTCTTCGGTCCTCAGTTAGGTCTGGTAATAAGTGAAGTGGGCTGGGTGGGATTGTGGCAAACTCAGACGGGTAGGTCCGCACCCCTACCCAAAAAGGGAGGTGCTACTCAGTCAGCACTGACTGTCGGATGTGAGGCTGTCGGAAGTTCTATTTGGTCAGATACTCATTTTCAAGAAAAGCTAGAAATAAGCATTTTTATATAAAATTTCCTGATTTTAAAATGTTGGGAAGGCAAAGAAGAATTTGTATAAATCATACTGTAGGCCAAAGAACCAAAACAAAACAAAAGAAAAACACAACACCCTGTATCTCCAAGTTGGATATGGCCCATTGGGTTCGATTTTGTGACTTTGGCCTTAGACTTGAACTGTGCCTCTGTCATTTTAGAGATTTGTGATCGAAGGACCTCTGTGCAAATGTTCTAACAGTTTTTCCACCTAAAAGAAAATGGAGCAGGTCATTCCTAAGTTCTATGATGCTTTGTGGAAACAACTCAGGATGCAATGGTTATCAATGGCTTGAGAGCAAATTCAAGTGGGAACCTATCTCTGCTCCCTGAATTTGCAAACTCCATGGACATGTTTTTTTTCTCCCCATCACTGGGTTTTTAGCTCCCTCCTTGCAGGAATCTTTTCGGCTGCTTACCCAGCCCCTCCTTACACCCACCTCCCCTGCCCAAGGACTCACGGACACACTGGGGAGGGACGTTGTGGTTGCTCCACAGGCCTGTCTCCAGACACTCTGCAGTGGCCTCGGCACCTGTCTGCAGGTGGTAGCCTTCGCTGCAGCTGTACACAGCCTTGGTCCCCACGGTGTACTCTTTGCCAAACACCATTCCATTCTTAGGAGCCTCAGGGAGCCCACAGGAAAGAGCTAGCAGAGGGAAAAAGTCATGAGCATGTCTGTTTCAAGTGGTGTTCTGAGAACATCTTTTTATATCTCCTCTCCCCTAATAAAATTATGGTGAATACCAATAAAAGGAAAAAAAAAAATCTTCCTTTAAAAATGTTTTTATTGATTTTTAGAGAGAGAGAGGAAGGGAGAGGAAGAAAGAGATAGAAAGATCAATCGGCTGCTCCTGCACGCCCCCTACCGGGGATCAAGCGCACAATCCAGGCATGTGCCCTGACGGGAAATCGAACCAGCAACCTTTCGGGGCACAGGACGACGCCTGACCAACTGAGCCGCTCCAGCCGGGGCGGAAACATCTGAACAACAACAACAGTATGAGGATCACCAGCACAGGAGAGTTCAAAAAATACTTTGGGAGACCAAATGGAGTTAAAAGCGCCCACTATTGTCCCTCACCCACCCCACCTCTGAAACTAGTCCAGAGCTCCAACTTCCCTCCCTCTGAGCCAGAAGAAGCTCGAGCAGAGAAAGTCCCATTCACACTGGCTGACAATGATGCTTGATGCTGCTAGAATTTCCAGAACCAAGATGAGGATCAGGGCTAGGACTCCACTATGAAAATGACATGGAAAAGGGTGGGTTGTCCAGAGGGAGAGGGGTTCAGATACCAGGACAGAAGAAGGATTCAAAGACTAGATGTGGGACCAAAAGAGGAGGGTCAGGAACGGAGGGAATGAGGAACTAGGGGAGCGTTTGGATATGACGCTCCTTTAATGCCTGAGCAGCAAGCCGTGAGCTCCTTCCATGGTCCCAGGTTAGCTAACCTGTCACATCTGATTAACTCACTGGTTTGCTCCCTTGAACCCTTTGGGAAGAAGGCTTAGACCCCCACTGACATTTGCATGGGGAATCAAGCTGGAGGCAGCCACCTCTCACTGCCCCTGTTTTATGCCCCTCTCTTGTGGGTATCTAAGAAGACAAAAGAGAACTTCCCAGCCTGAGAGACTAGAAGCCTGTCTCCTGATCTCCATGCCAAAACACGGTCCCCTGAAACCCAGGCAAGAGGCACCCTTCCTAGGGGTCAGAGACGAGGGGACAGAACTTGCGGTGGATGACATCTCCGGAGGAGAGAATATGTAGTGAGAGAATGGGCTGGGGAAGGAGAGAGAAAGCATTAGGAAACATCGACTCTTGAAATGGGATTTTTTTTTTTCTTGGTGGAGAACCATGGTTTGGAAGCAGCAATGGGGATGGGAGAATGCCAGGGCTTTCCTGGCCCTGGGCTATGTGGGAAATGGGGGACTGACACCCTCCACTGGAAAGGGCCACAGCGTCCCTGGTCTCCGAGCAGAGCCACAGTCTCTGTGGCGGGAGGAAGTGGAGAGAGCCCTCTGGGTAGGGACCAAGGGCCTCAGAAGCAGGAACCCAGAGAGCACAGAGGGAATGGCTGGGAGGGTGCATCAGAGGGAAGCTTGGGTGGGGATCGGGGGAAGCAGCACAGAGCAATAAGAGGGGGAGTGGACAGAGCCTAGAGGGGCCTAATTTGGGGAACTGACAAGAGATAAAAGAGAAGAGAGGCACTGGTCGGTTTCAATAGGAGCTCTGGAAAAAAAGCCTTGATGTCTGATACAGTTAGAGACACGAAGACCAAAGCCAGATGCCATTTGCCGTTTGTGGACAGTCAGTTCTCGGAGACCTTTGCTTAGGGCATCAAACAGAACACTAATGACACATTGTTTCTGTTTTTGAGAAAGCCCAGGCTCAGGCCAGAAGGTGACAGAGAAGGCAGATGTCATTAAACAGTAGGCACACGCTGGGGACCGACGAACAAGAACATAAAACATCGATGATTCCTGTTTTTGCGTATATAATCGGCAAGGGCCCTTTCTTTTTTTAATGCGGTACATAAGGCTGAGAATGCGGGAGGAAAGACAACTTTCAGGAGGGCAATCAGTATCAAACGCTGTAGACTTTGCATAGGTTAGGATTCAACATTCTCATTTTGGGGGATTTATTTTAAGAAATAAATATGAATGCTCATAGCAATGGGATTATAAAAATTTTAATGGCAGCACTGTGTAGAATATAGAAATTCAAATGACCAACAATAAAAGACTAGAATAAACGACAGTTTTTCCACAATGCCATGCAACCGCTGAGTGTAATGACGAGGAAGTGCTTCTGAGTATATGATAGATGTTAATACCAAGAGTTTTGGATGCTGATGATGCCATTTTTAAAAGCAGTATATAAAAGGCTAAAGGAAACGCGTTAGGTGTCAACTGTGGTGATCTCAATTGATGAGATTATAGGTCATTTTCACTTTTTTCTTTGGCACTATGTATACTTTTTTTTCCTGTCTTTTCAGATTACTAGTCTGAAAGTATATTACTTTAAAGAAAAAAAAAAAATCCCATAAATTATCAAAGGCAATGCCGCACACTGCCTGGTGCACATCACAGCCCCGATCACTGTAACTAAGGGTCGCTGTTGCACCCTGGGTCCCTCCACCCTCTTCTCCTCCCACCTGGCCCTCCCGCCAGCCCGAACTGCTCTGCCTGTCTTGTTCTCTCTCTGTTCTGCGCTTTTTCAAATGCTCTTGCTGTTGCCTAGAAAGTTTTCCTTGCCAACACCTAGTCCCAAACCCTCCTTGCTCTCTGAGCCCGAGCCCACGCCTGCTTCTTCTGGAAGCCTCCCGAGCTGTCCAGGAGGTGGGTCCCTTCTCACCCCTGGGCTCAGCACGTGGTTTATACTCCTGATGCGGCCCTTCCTTCCTCTATCTTTCTGCATCTACTTGGCTGATATCCATCTCCCTCCTTGCTCCAAAGACACTGAGGCTGTTTTATGCAAATATATATCCCCAGGGCTAAAGATACTGTGGATCCTCAATCTATGCTTCCCCAAAGGATGAGTTAATCATCCATGAGGAAACCCATATTTGGAAGTGATTGGTCCTGGGACAAACCCAAGAAGTGAGTAGGATCCAAGCCACCAGGTGCCCCCTTCCCACCTGCTTCTCACCTTGACAGAGAGGAATGGCCTCGCTCCACAGGTAGTAGCCCTGGGGGTGCCGGGTACAAATGGCCATGCTGTGTCCCACCAGGCGGTAGCCGGCGTTGCAGCCAAAGTGGACGGAGCCTCCGGGCTGGGTGCTGGTCTGGCCCAGGAGGAAGCCGTGGAGTGGAGCCCTGGGCAGGCTGCAGTAGGGAGCTGCAGAACGAGAGGAGGTCAGGGCCATGCCCGGGGCGGGGAGGACAGACACTCTCCTTCCTGTGCGCCCCACCCCTCCTCCCCCCATTTCCTTGTCTTCCCCATTGCCAGTGCTATTTAGGAAGGTCTGAGTGGCTAATATTGAAAAACGGCCAAATAGTTTAGTAAAAGGAAAGGAACGAAAAGAAGCATTGGGTCTCCTTGGCAGCCTTAGTCGTACAGCTAAGTTCAGGCTCTCGAGTCCCATCAGCTCCCAAAGAGAAAAAGAAAACCAAACCAATGGGTCAGCCGGGGCTGGCTTGAGCCGTTTCTGACCTTTCCAGGTCTGACTGAGATACACACCCCTGAAGCTCCTTCAGCTCCCGTCTCCTCACCTGTCTACTTGGATGGGCCATGTTTACCTCATAGATTTTTGGGCTGTTTGTAAATAGCATCATGTTTGTAAAAGCCTCCAGCCCAGCCCAGGACACTCAGTGCTCAATAAATGTTCCTTCTCCTTTCTGTCCTAGAGGGTGGAGGGAGAGGGAGCTGTGCCAGTCCAGCACATGAAATCCACAGCCCCAGTTCCCCCGCAATGTATGGCTTAAACGTATTTCATTCACTTAGTCAACAAATGAGTCTGGAGTGCCCATTACGTGCCTGGTGCTGTTCTAAGTGCTGGGAACACAACAATGAAGAAAGAGACAAAAATCCCAGCTGCAGAGAACTTGCAGTGAAAGTCCCTGCCTGTGAGGCCGCGACAGAAGGTGAGCGAAGGGACATGCAGAGTGTGCCCCTTGGTTGCTCTGAGAGTCCCTGCTAGGCCTCGTAGGCAGGTGGGGGCTCAGGGGCCATGAGGGTGCCGGGTCCTCACTACTCCTCCCACAGTGAAGTCCTCTCATCTCTCCGCTGGTGAAATGTGTTTTAAATACCTCCCCCTCCAGTCCAGATGTGTTTCCCCACTCCTGCTTTGCCACCTGTGTCCGGTGCATATTATATTGACGTGTCTACCTCAGTCAAGAGCAAGGCTCTCCGTTATAAAATAGACAGTCACAGTGACAGCGGCATTTGCAAATTACACAAGTCTACTGTATTTTAATTGGGTGCTAATTGCTTCACCGTGTGATTAATTCATTTTGTACTTGGCGTATATATTATAATTACAACTGACTCATTACCCCAAACATGTGGTTCATCTTTAAAAACATCATGGAAAGGGCAACTCCTAATGCCTCACAGTTCCTAGTTTAGCAACCAGCATACTGAAACGCCACTGAACGGCTATGCTCCCGTTTGCGTGAGCAGCTGCTAAAAACTGCCTGAATTTGCCTGAGAGAAACCTCCAGGCTTCTGTTTCATCACAAGGAAACAGGCCTAGAGAGGTTAGGTGATGCGTCTAATAATCATCCAGCTAGTTAGTGACAGACAGGCAGGCTGTAATCTGACATCTTTTCTAACCAATATTCTTTAAAAATATGTTGGACATTTATTTGGAATGCAGGCCAAATGCAGGCAGGGAAGTGTGAGGAGGGGACCTGGTGCCTGGTGGGATTCCCAGGGTCTTAAGTAATTCATCACTGCCTCCAAGTCTCCAGAACCCAGCCCACAGTTCACTGGGCCCACTCCCCTTCAGAATGGGGAACAAGCAGCGCATTGAGTTTTCTTTCCGACTGCAAACAGCAACCCCCACGATGGGAGTGCAGAGAGATTAGATTTCCTCGGTCTCCTTACGTCTCAGGGTGTTTCTGTGCTCCCTCTAGACTGTTGCCCTGGTTGGCCGCGTGACTGCTTGGCCTCAGCTCTGCCTCTGCCTAGGAGATACAGCTTGTAGAGCAGAAAAGAGGCCCCTGGAATTGAAATACAGCCCACCCATGGGCTGCCTGTCTCACATTTGCCATTTGGAGGCCCATGTCTTAGGGTTTTTCAGTTTTCAGGAAATTTCATTAACATTTCAACATGGGCACGGAGGGCCCTTTTGGCATTATTAGATATATGTAATAAGCTTATTCAAAGACACAGGCTGGCAGGACGAGCAGGAGAGCGGGAAGACGTTAAAAGTGGGGAAGGAATAGGAAAAGGGGAGGTGGGAAAGTGTCCAGGACACTTGTGCAGTTACAAGTCAGAGAGACTCAGAGAAGGTTGTCTAGTCCTGTGGAGATATGGCCCGTGGTGGGTGTTTGGGGTGAGAACTTAAGGGACTCATAGGCTCTGGCCCTTCTCGTGAGTCCTTATGTTTCACTCACCTGAATACCGAATCTTAAAGCCCTTCCGATTGTAGGCATGATCAGATGACCAGCGCAGGTACACAGAGTTGCTCGTGCTGGTGACAACCAGGGGAGCTGAGTAATTCCCACTGAGAGCTTTCAGCAGGGGGCTTTGTCCTGAGGGACCTGGGATGAGAGTTTAGGACACAGGATTACAGACTATAGCAGCCATCAAACATGTTAGAGTTGATCCCTTTAATGTAATCACCTCCTACTTGCCCCTTCTCAGATGAAGCCTTGAAGGCTCAGAATGCTTGGGGAACTTGGTCAGAGTCAGCGCACTCATTTGTCCTTCCACTTCTCTCTCTGCACCCACAGGTCTTGCTCTACGTGCCCTTCCTCTTGAGCCCTAAAGCAGTGCTCCAGGAAGTCACTGCCAATCCACAGCAGGTGGCAGTTGAGATAAAACTATTTGCCATCTTGGGACTTGTCCAAGGTCAAGTCGCTGGTCAATGGAAGAGCTGGTTTTCAACCTGGGAACTCCTTCTACCTGCCACCCTACTTCTCTTGTGTGTACTAAAAACAGCTCAGTGCCTGCCATATAGAAAAAATATTTATGGGTGCATATATAACAATAAAGCTAGAGGAAAACACCAGACCTCAATGTCACAAATAACATAATTCCCCAGCTTCCTTTCCAAGGCTCTTCTTTTTGCTTATCTTAAATGTCTGGGAGTGTATCCTGAGGGGGCTGGTTCAAGGAGGGAGAATATAAAGCTGTAGAATCCAAAATATAGGATCTATCACCCTGGAAAGAGCCCTGAGTGATGGTTCTAATATGCTGCCGAGACAGCTCTTGGGAGCTTAGCAAAAGTAATGGACTATGCTAAACAAAGGAGAGCCATCAGAACTGCTGGAACAAACCATGAAGGAAGAGGTCAGAAGGCTCAGAGAAGTGGCATGCCAGGGGAGGCCTGCTGTGTTAGACCAGGACACCCACCAGCTGACTGCATTCCTCAGAAGGACCTGGAAGACACGCCAGGTCCTAAAGCAACAAGGAACACACTGGTGAGGGTGAGCACCAGCATCTGGCAACTGGAGTAAGGGCTGTCCTCTGCAGGCCACAAGTGATGGAATGAGATGCTGTCACAGAACCCGGCCTCCCAGCATTGATGGGGTGAGAAGATTCTAGAATACAGAGGCCAGGTGGAAGCACTTAACAGTGAGAAGCAAGGATGGCATAATTACTAAAAGGGACAGCAAGGGTTGGAATGGCAGCCAGGAGGGCCAGACCTGCAGGGTCTATGGCGATGGCTCAGGGGACACGGCATTCCTGGGGACAGACGAGTGGGTGGCCAAAATATATAAGTATACAAACAAAACAGATCAGATCACGAATATATGATCAAAGGGTGAGAAGAACTAGTCCCAGTGGGAAGTTACAGTCTCCCAGTTTGGAGACCTGAGCCAGGCTTCATTTCTTCCTACAGAGCACTTTGGTGAAGGAGAGGCTGGATGCCCATGAAAAAGGACCCTATTAAACAACATCGACTGTATATAGTAGTGATTTTCTCAGTTCTTCCCCCCAAAGGACCTACCATTATTTACTCTGGTAACTGAATATTGGAGAAAAGGGAATGCCAAGGTATTTTGAAGACTTTTAGAAACAGTTTGAATTGATGCTGATACCTGGGGACCCAAAGCACGATCATGGCTCCTCTGTTAGGGAGGGGGGTCTGAGGGTGGGGTTGGTCATAAGTGGAGTCCCGGCCCAGGCCCATCTCACAGTAGCAGCCTAACCAAGTCGTAGCCTCAACTGCAGCAGCTGTGCCAGATGTACGCCCTTGATTAGAGATGAACACAGGCTTGCTTACATGGCACGCAGTTATTGATCTAGCAATGCCTTCTTTTCTGCACCCATCAGAAAGAAGCACCATAGGCAGTTTGCATTCACGTGCAACAGGCCAGAGTATACACTCATGGTCTTGCCTCAGAGTTATGCTAATTCTCCTGCTCTCTGACATAATACAGCATGAGGAGATGTGGACCATCTGGACATCCTGCGGAATAGAACACATTGGTTCTCTATATTGATGACACTGTATTAATTGGATCTGATGAGCCAGAAGGGAACAATTAGTGCAGATGTCTTTGCAAGATTCACGTGCTCTAGAGGGTAAGAGATAAATCCTATAAAGTTTCAGGTGAAATTTTTAGGGTCCAGGGGTTCAGGGCATGCTGAGACATTTCCTCCAAATTAAAGAGCAAGCCATTGTACCTTTTACCTCCCACCACCAAGAAGGAAGCACGCCGTTTGGTAGACTTCTTTGGGGGTTTGCAGGTAGCATATTCTGCCCTGGGTGGTACCCCTATGACCCAGTCATTGGTTGACATTCAAGGTGCTAGTTTTGAGAGGGCGCCAGACTGAGAAAGGGCTCTGCGGCAGGTCCAGGCTGCAGTCCAGGCAGACCTGCTGCGTGGGCCACACAACCCATCAGCTCCCATGGTATCGGGGTTTCTGTGGCAGAGAAGGCATTATGTGGAACCCCTGGAGCTCTGATTGGGAGGCTGAAGCATAGACTTTGGGTTCCCAAGCAAACCTGTGCCACCCGCAGCGGGGCCGATGCAGTATCTGACTTACCATCGAAGATCTCAAACTCATCGTACTGCTTCTCGCTGAGAAAGTACTCCACTGTGACGGAGATGTTATACTCGGGCTCCACCCTCACCAGCCAGGAGCAGGTCTGGAACTGGGGGTAGCTTCCCGGGTAGCTCTGACTCAGGATCACACCGGTGGAGTCTGTCAGCAGCTCGTTTGTTGGGCAGTGCACTTGGAGAAAGAAAGAGAAATACCAGTGTGCGAGATGGAGAAGGAGCTAGACCAACACATGGGCTTGCTTTTCCCTGGTACAAAAGACAACCATTGGAGAGCAGGTATTTAAGCACATTCGGACAAGACCCCAGCACCCACCACTACACCGCTTCATGGCATGGGGTGACTTCAGATTGTGTCGGTGTTACCCTATTTCTGAGATGCAGGCCTGGCCACTTGGAGCAAATCAAGGAGGTTCTGGAACAGGATAAAGGCTAAAGTTTACTTTTATTGGGGGCTGGTTGCTTTGGTGGTGGGTGGCTCAGCTCAACTGAAATAAACAGTTACTGAATTTCTCAATTCAGTATCGGGGCAGCCTGATTCTGGGGTGCACGGTCCCTCTCTTCCGCACTAATAATCCACACGGCAGTTTACCCTTACTCTTGCGTTGCAAGAGGTAGAGGAGAAGCTGACTTGTTTCTCCATAGGCTACCGAATATTTGTTGGTAGTAACAGTATTAAAAACAGTAGTAGTACTAGCAATTATAATAATAGCCAGCACTGAGCAGTTCCTCTGTGCAAGGGAGTAGAGAGTATTGTTTTGGCCCTAGTTGGGATAAATTAGTGAAGCGGATTCGTCGTCTGTCAAGGCCTCACTGGAGTGAAGACAGCTATGGTCTCTCAGTTGCCTAGTTCGGCACAGGACCCTGAGCACGTCTGCACTCCAGCAGGGCAAGGTTGGTGTGCGAACACACCCCTGCCCAAGGTGCCAGAACTTCCCTCCTTCCAGTGATCCGTGTGCCATTTCCAGGGAATGCCAGTTACACAAAAAGACAGAGATACATAAACGTGGCCGCTAGGGCCAATTCCTTGCCCTGGACCTAGGAGCAGGGCAGAGAACCTACCTAGAACAATCACTTGCTCCCTTCCTCACTCATGCGAACAAACATTCACCATGTGGCTTCCTCCTTCCTGGGCAGGGACAGGGACTGTAGAGAGTAGTAACAGGGCTGTGCTCTGGAGGAACTCAGACCCATAAAGGCACGGCTCAGCGCAATTACCTTCACATATTGGGGGTGGGCCTTCAAACTGCAAGTAAGTTCCAAGTTTGCAGGTCAGGATTTCATTCCCCACCAAGGTAAAGCCAGGAAGGCACCTGTAGCGTACAATGTCACCTGGCAAAGAGAGAATGACATGTGGATTCCCAGGAGAGGTCTGGTCAGGGCTGATCAGCACCCCTTAGTACCTCAAACCCATTTCCAGGCAAGGCCATCAGTATTGGGTTGTGTTCCGTTCAGGCTTAAAGAACTAGCTCAACTCTAATCAAATGACCCAGACAACTGCTGCTCCCCTCTCACAGCTCGGCCTTGCTGAGCCTAAGAATGTTCAGGAACTTTCTATAGTGTCTCGCATGGATTTATTTCTCTAAAACATACTGACTTAAATCACAGTGAAAAACAGCTTCCCTAGCTCCTGTGCCCAGGTGCGGCCAAAAGGAAGCAGGTTTGGTGCAAACTCAGCTGCTGGAACACCACGCGTCCTGCGTGGGGCCTACTGTTTCTGTCCATGGACAGGAGGGAGTGAGCCCTCGGGCAGCCCCACCGCGACCTGGCCCCTCGGGGGTTTGGGAGGCGTTACCTATGTTCAAGTCTTCGTTCTCTGTGACGACTTCGGCGTTGGGGAGGATGGTGGGAGGGGGGCATTTGGTGAGTGGGTAAGCTGGAAGGACAAAAGCAGACGAGTCAGTGTAGGAACATGGTTCTTGGGGCACGCGGCCGTTCAGTGCCTTTTTCTCGCCCCTCATTCACTTTCACAGCAGACATTAATGAGTATTTATCTGTATACAGGGCAAGCTTAACTGGGTACTATTTTGCTTGTCTGCTAAGGCTGACAATAAAGGAGAGAATCTAGGAAGGCAGTGACTGTCACTAGCACTGAAGGGGAGAGAAGCATTCACTGAGCACCAGCCATGTGTCAGGCACTATCCCACGCTGTCACCTTTAATCCTCACGATGGCTGCTCCCCCCGCGAGGAGTTCTTGCTCTGCTTCTGAGGAGGCTGAGATGCAGGGTTCAGTCCCTCCTCCCAGTTACACAGGAAGAGAGTGGCACAGGCAGGGTTGGAATCCATGTCTGGCTGCTCCCAGGTCCCATATTCTGTCCACTGCTCAGGGCCTAAGTACTGGGTGTGGTGTATGTGGATGCCCACTGAGGTCAGCTTGTTTCCCTTCTGGCCTTTGCCTGACACTTCTGGCCACAGCGGGTTTTCTAAACTGGAAAGCACCCCTCTGGGCAGACACGGGATCGTGCGTGGGTGGTGTTACTGAGGCAAAGTCCAGCGCGGGCTCATAACTTGCTTTTTCAGTCATGACCTGGCACAGGGCTAGTGCTATGTAAAGTTAGCTGTTGCCCCCACTGCTGTTGTTATTATTTCCAAAGTCACCTCAGCCCACTATGTTTCTTAAAAATAGCATTCTTTAAAAAACAAAAACAAATGTAATACATTATCATTAAAGAAAATATGAGATTTTTTGTGAGAACAGGAGGAGGAAAATTCAACTCATCCATTGCCCTCTCAGAGATGACCACATTAATCCTTTACTGTAAGTCTTAGGGTATTTATTCTCTGCATATATACATATTTTTCTCTTAAGGAATTTGCATTGTGGTATGTACTTTGTGCTGATCTTTGTGTGCTTAATATAATTCAAGAATTTCCCCATGTAATTAAATTAAAAAATGATTGAAATGATTTCATAGTATTTAATTATACAATGCACTAGAGTTTTATTTAACAGACTCTCTATTGTCAACCATTCAGGTCTCCAAAGTTTTGCCATTTAAAAGAAAGCTGTGATGGGCATCCTTCTATATATGCATCTTTTGTGAATTTTTCTTTTGTTTTTAAACTGAGAATGATTAAACTGTATGACCTTTTAAAAGTACAGGCATCTCCTATTGCATGCCAGTAATCCATTCCTGGAAATCCGATTTTCTGTGCAAAGATGATAGCTAGGAGCCTATTTCCCATTACTTTAACGGGAAAAACGCATAACCCTCAAAGCCAAAAAGTATTTAACACTAAAAATATATATGTCTATATATGCAACAAACCATTGTGCTAGAAGTTAAATTCTTAAAACATCACTTCATGGTCACCCAACGATTAATATGGTTGTAACTAAACAGTGATTCTATGCATCGCAACACGCACACTTTGCAGATCCACCGTAAGCATGCAGAGTCAGCCAAGGCCCTGGGTTCCTTTGGAGTTGGACAACCCTCTAGAAGGTGCTAAGGGACAGGCTGGGCAAAGGTAGATGGATAACCAGCCAGCGAGTTGATGTGAACGAGTGGGTGAGAGGCCTCACTCTGCTGCTTCTAAGCTTGAACTTGGAACCAACGATCAACGTCAAGTACCTCTCTGCCCTAGTAGTACGAAGGAGGAGGAAACCTACATTTATGGAGCCCTGTGCTGGGAGATTTCACTCAGGCTAACACCTTTAATGATCATACCTTTGAGGGCACGGAAGGTAAGAAGCTATGTAAGTCATTCAAAGTCACGCAACTGGGAATGGCGAAGCCAGGGCTCAGGCCCAGCCTTGACTTGAGAGCCTGGCCCTTCCCACCAGGCCAGGCTTCCATACTGACCAGAGAAGGCTATGGCGAAGATCCCACCCGTGGCCGCATCCCGGTGGAACTTGAGCAGGACCTGGTTGGTTGAGCTATGCACTGTTTTCTTGGCCAAGCTCCTGGTGAAAACTCCAAGCTGAGGAGCTGTCTGCTGTGGCCCATCCCTGCAGGAGGAGGAAAGAAGGTCCCGGCATGTCACGAATCACTAGGGCTGTGAATTTACCTGGTGCCACCAGTGGCCTTAAGAGAGACCTGGAGTGGGCAGCTGTGACTTTTCTTGCAGTCAACACTGTCTTTCCCCAAAGTCCTAAACACCTCTCCCAATGCGGTCTCCCAACAAAGCTGACAGAGTTGGTGACGCCCACATCACTCCCTCAGTCACCTGATTCCTCACCAGCCCAGCCTCCTTAATGGGCTCCTGGGGCAACAGGCTCACCAAGAAGCAGGAGCCAGGGAGCAAGGCTTTGGGCCTTCCCGCAGGTTCTCAGTCCCAGGCAGCACCGGAACAGGGAGAAGTGCAGGAAGCTCATGCTGGTATCTCTGCCTCCCATTCCCTTGTCCCCCAGCAAAGACACAGAGCCATGTCACTTTCTGGGCAAAGGACTTCTTCCCTGACAACTTATCTAGTCCCTTCCATCTGTTCTTAACCATTGCCTAGAAATTAGGCCGGAAATGAATCGAGGGCAGTCTGGTTATGGTTACTACTCCCTGGGAACTGGGAGACAAGAATCCCACTATCTCCTACTGATTCTCAGAATGGCAGTGTCCTTCAAACCAAAAGGAGCTTTAAAGTTATGTCTTTGTCCAAAAATCAAGTGGTTTGAAAAAAAAACTGTCTAGGAAACTACACTTATCAACTAAGAATTCATACTCCTATTTTGAAATTAACTCAAGATATTCTAATCTACATAGCTCAAAGCTGAGGTGTTCGATTTGGTAACCGCTAGTCCATTCGTGGCTATTTATATTTAAATGAATGAAAATGAAATAAAGCTTAAAAATCAGCTCCTCAGTCATTCTAGTCACATTCAAGTACTCAACAGCACTCGTAGTGAGCAGCTACCAGGCTGCAGAGCACAGCTACAGCAGGTTTCCATCGCTGGGGAAAGTTCTGCTGGCCAGTGCTGGCTCAGCATGAGACTTCACAAAATTCCACCCCAGAGCTCTTTCATTAGTCTGGGTAGCTTACTTTAGGCAAATGTAGAATTTTTGTTTAGACTCTGGAAATACTGAGAGAAGTCCACATATCTACGCCCACTCCCATTCACACACCCATGGGCACTGCCGTGGACCCCTCACAGGACTCCAGGTGGGAACCACCGCCCTGCTGTTCTCTCCCTTCAAGGAGTCATAGGGCGAACCGAAGCCGAGCCCTCATTCCACCGTGTTTACTTGAAACCCAGGAGGCTGATAGCCATGTAACTCCATTCAGCTCTCGGGGTGCTGAAAACACAGATGGGTAATCCAGCTTAGGGCCCTGCTAATGCCCTTTTCTTATTGGCTGTCGACATGGCACTGGCCCTACCAGACGGTGATGAAGTCTCCGGAGGGCTCTGTCTGCAGCAGGCTGAGGTTGAGGTAGATGCCATGGCCAATGGGCACGGTGATCAGCCAGACACAGTCCTGGGAGCTGGAGTATGGACTGGGGAAGCCAGGGGAGTACACGGTGCCATTGGAAGAGGTGATGTTCCCACCGCAGGGGACTGCAGAGAGGGAACAAGAACACAGGTGAGTGCTGGAGATCACCTCCCACCTGAGAATTCAGATGACTTCCTAATGAAGTTCCAGCTCCCAGCACAAACCACCCTGTTTTCAAGGAGATCAGGCAGAATGGGGAGAGGCGACAGGGCCTGGCTTCCCCCCTAGCTCCCCATCTGGCCCCGGACTTCAGGGCAGGTGCCGCTGTGGGCCTGCTCTAGCCTCCCGCCTCCCTTTTTCTTTCTCATGGATGACACCTGCCCAGGAGGAAGGACACACTACAGCTCTCCCCTCTCCTTTCCTGGAAATGGAAGGCAGATGTTAGAGTTGCAGTACTTTTGCCGAGAAGAGCTGAGAAAATCATGAAACTGGGATTTTCTCTTTTTATTTGCTCTAAGATTCTGAGAGTGGTACTTTTGATCTTGACCTAAGAATTGAGGAGAGGCTAAGGTTGGGTTCAAAAGTTGGCTAAACCACTTATTGACCAGATGACCTCCGACAAGGTTAGTCTTTTCCTTTACCTATAAAATACCCCCTTGAAGCACTGTGTGGCGGTTAGGTGACTGATAACATGCCAAATGTTCAGCCAGTCCCTAGATCACAGAGAAGGCATTTGCTACACAGATATGGTTCTCGCTCCCTATCTTCCTGTCTCCCTAAAGTGACACCCGACTTCAGACTCACTCTGACCTAGGCTTTTGGTAGGGGGATGAAGAAGCCCTGAAGTCTCCATAGAGTTCAGATATAGTCACCAGGGAGGAGAAAAAAAATGATTCTGGGCAAAGAAAACCTGATCCTGAACCATGAGTGTCTTTGGCTGGCCTGGGACATCAAGCAGACAGGTGGACAGGCCCTATCCCAGTGCCTCTCAGCAGAGAAAAAGGCCCTGCGAATGCAAATGTGTCCTGAGAGTGGTGCGCGGACACACCACTCCTTCTACAAGCACTGATCATCCGCTTGGTGCCCGGGCCGGCCTGGGGAGCCAGGAGGGAGCCAGGGTGCCACAGCACATGGTTCTGTTCCACAGCACACAGTCCCCTGGGCTACAGCCGCGAATACGGGCATCTACAGCACAGGGGAGCGTGCCATCAGTGTGGATGCCACAGGGACGTTAGGGGAGCCCCTCATCTGGCCTTGAGAGTGTAGGGAAGGATTCCTGGTAGAGTTCACATTTAGACTCACACCCGAGGGATGACAAAGGGCTCAGCAGGCAAAGCAGGAGGGGAGAGCAACGTTCTCTGAGGAGGGAACGGCATGTGCTAAGAACCAGAGGTAAGAGAACACAGCATGTGGGAAAACGAAGTATTTCAGCTTAGCTAGAGCGTAACGTCTGTGAAAGTGGAGGACAGCGCAGGGTAAGCAGAGAGCAGGCCCCGAGGGACAGGGGTGCTACATGAAGGGGTTTGGAATTTAGCCCTAGGGGGATGGGGGATGCCTCGGTGGTGTCTGAGTGGGGGAGGGTCGGGAGTACACTGATGGTTTCGAGGACTCGCTCTAGCTACATTGTGAAACATGGATCGAGGCGTGCAAGAATGAGGGCTGGGAAACCAGAGAGGAGCCTCATCCAAGTGGTGGCCTGGACTGAGGGAGAAGCAGTGGGCAGAGGGAAGTGGGTGCATGTGAAAGACAAGTAGGAGGTAGAATTAGGAAGGCCTGGTGAGTATGGCAGATGAGCGAGGGGAAGGTGCCCATACTAAGGGCCCGGTTGCAAGGTGACTAGAGGTGCCCTTAGCGAGATGAGAATTTCAGTCTGATGGCAGGAAGGCAGTGAGTTCAAGTTTGAACACGTTGGGATTTAGATGCCTCAGGATAGGTGAAGAAAAGATGACCAAAGAGTTGGCACAGGCAGAAAGGTAACTGGGAAAACAAGGGAATATGGCATAAAGGAAGCCAAGGGAGGAGCCTTCTCGGGAGGGAGAAGGGCTTCTGGCTCAAGACGGCTGACTGAGCCCTGCCCTTTCCTCTCTCCCGTGATGCCACAAACAGATGCACGAGGTGTAAACAGGAACAGAAGAGAGAGTCCACAATGAAGCTTTCACGTAGCACGTGATGGTTTTGCACAGNAAGGAACAGGAGAGAGTCCACAATGAAGCTTTCACGTAGCACGTGATGGTTTTGCACAGAGACGGTCCTGAAAATCTGAGAGCAAACTGGGGGGTTAAGAGTTTCGGAAATCACGATCTCACATTCCAACACCAGCACAGCTCAGTTGTGCAAACAGGGTCTGTTTTCCTTTGGAGAGTTAATATCTGGAGCTCACTGTGAGCCAGTGACTGTGCTGAGCACTTCACACGAGTCATCTTGAAACCCTCCCAGCTCTTACAAAGCAGAGATGAGAAGCCCAGAGGAAGAAGCTGAAGTTCAGAGAGGCGAAGTGGTTCAGGGATGGAGCCCAGGGAGATCTGACCCTGGAGCTGGGCACTCTCTCCTAGGCTATGCTGTCTTCCTGCCATGCTTTCCCCTTTTAAGACAAATCCCAGCTTTTCCTCCAGGAAAATGCCGAGCCCCAAGAGTGAAAAGCGAAGGAAGATGGCACTGAGGTGAGCAGATGGGGAAGAGGCAGCACAAGCTCTAGGTCCTCTTCCATCCTGGTTCTGGTTAACGACGACCCAGGACAGTGCCACTTCTAGCTCCCTTATGTTATCGACTCAGGTCTCTCCAGGCACTCGTATGCGAAAGAGCATAAGGAGGGGGCAAGTGATGAGGGGGACAAGAAGTTTCCTCTTTCTAGGCTTTATTCTCTCTTCCCTTTGGGAAGGTGCCATGATTAACTCTACCTCTCCGCCCCTCAGCTCACCACCTGCTCCTACACCCTCCCGCAGCCTTCCCTTCTCACAGGGGACATCTACCCATCAGGTTGGACAGTCCCAAGGGCTGAATATATTTTCCCTTGGCTTGGTCCAAATCTCCTCCAGGTCCTCCCTAGGGCTGGTTCAGAGCTCTGTCCCCAGGATGCCTTCCTGGACAGGCTGGGTCTCATCCATAGGAAAACGGGATGGACAAGGTTTGCCAGGACCTCCCAGCGTGGGTGAGCCCATGGAGCAGGCAAGTAGATACGGGGCTGCTCTGAATCAGCCTCCCTAAGGAAAACCCCAAGGGGTGAGAGAGGGCCATACCTTCACACCTGGGCAGGGGGTGGTCCCAGTTCCGGTTGGCGCCATGTTGACATGTAAGGACAGGCTGGCCCATCAGCTGATATCCTGGGAGGCACTCGAAGGTCACTGATTGCCCGACATTGTAGCCAGCTCCCCTCACAATGCCATTGGCAAAGGGCTCTGGGTCTGGGCACTCCTGAAGTTCGTAGGCTGGAAGAGATCAGGAGAGCAGGTTCCTGTGTCCGCTCTGGGCATCCTCTCCCCAGCCAGGACACAGGAGCCACAGATACCATTGTGGTGAAGCCTATGAAGACTTGGACTCAGGAAGAACTTTGTCACTGATTAGTCGTTGGCTTTGGGAAAGTCATTTAACTTCTCTGTGCCTCAGTTTTCTTATTTAGAAAATGGTTATTGCAGGGATTAAGTAGGGTAATAGATGCGTAGCTCTGTGCACAGTACTGGCACTTGGTAAGGGCTCAACTGATGTTACCTATCAATGTCGCCATGTGAAAAGGAGACTCAAGGAAGACAGCGCTAGACTGAACCCCTGGGGATGTTGTTGGGCCCCTCACCCAGTTGGGCCGATCCCTGGTGGAGGTGTTGGGCCTCTGAAGGCATCCACAGAACCTTCCTTCTTCCCCATTCCCTGCCCCCCACACCCAGGAAAAGTCCTCAAAGGATTGGGCCTCTGAACATGTGAAGCCTCAGTGAGCACGTCACAGATAGGAAGGGTCACCCAGACAGCCGGCCCGTCGCCCTGGAGCCTCAGGGCAGAGCAGCCTCAGTAGGGGTGCGGCTCAGGTGGAGGCTTGGTGAGCGTGGGAGGAGCACATCATGTATTTTTCACAGGTACATATAACATGTATGTCAACATATGGGAAAAGATCAGCAATGATCACATCAAAGCAACAGTGGTTATTGCTGGGGAATAAGACTGTGTTTGGAGGCTGTGGACAGAGAGGTTTTATCTTTACCTGTAATGTTTTACTTTCTTTATTCCTTTTTCTCTCTCTTTTTTCTTTTTTTTAAATATATCTTTATTGATTTCAGAGAGAGGAAAGGAGAGGGAGAGAGAGAGATAGAAACATCAATGATGAGAGAGTCACTGATCGAGCCCACAACCCGGGCATGTGCCCTGACCGGAAATCAAACCCCGATCACCTGGATCCTAGGTCGATGCTCAACCACTGAGTCACGCCTGGCGGGGCTCTTTCTTTTTTAACAAGATAAATGTGTTTGTAAATTGTGTAATTAAAAATTAATGTTAAAAAAGCAAATTACTAAACAGTATTGAAAGTATGACCCAATTCTGGTTAAGACGGAATAACACAGCCATATATCATCGTATGTACAGAAAAAGAGGGGAAGTCAAACCGTCAGAAGTTATGTTTCTTCATAAGATAGGCTTGGAAATGGGATTATGGGAGAGTTTTGACTTTTGTGCCCTCACAAAAACATCTGGAATGTTTCAATCGTTTTATAAGTGTGTATTAGTATTTGGGGGGAAAACTCTAAAAGTGTGAAAGAAAAATCCATGGAAGAGCCTGGGAAAATAGGTTAGAACCAAACCAATGGCTCAGCAGAAGCACCCCAGAGAGAAGTGGGGCCTGCCTGGGGCTGCTGTGCACAGCTACACAGATGGGGCGCTCACAAAAGGGAGTGGGTGAGGCCTGCTTCAGGTACAGCGTGCCAGGAGGAGTGGGTGGGACCTGTCATAGGCTTTCACCTCGGGAAGGAAGCACTGTGCAGTGAGCGTGGCTGGGCCTCACACGGGAAAACCCTCAGGAGCAATAAGTGGGCCCATCTCATTGTGTAGGCTCTGTGGGCTCTCCCGGGATTGTCACTGGAATCCTCCGTCATTTCATAGCTTTGCTGAGCATAATTGGGCCTGACACAGGGAGGACCCAGGGGGAGTCAGTGAGCCTGTCCAGGGACGGGCTGGCTGCATGCTTAGAGATGCTGAGATGAAATGAGGGATCTCTTGCTCAGGGAGAGCTGGTGGCTATCGGGCCTGGACAGAGGCTGACCCTCTGAGGGTTGGGCCTACCACCCTAGAAAAGGCCTGTCAGATGGGGTTAGACAGTCTCAGCTGGGCCAGAGAGACATGCCGCCAAAAGGAGCCTCCATGGATAGGCCTGTCCCCCACCCCCTCAGCCTTTCCTGTGGGAGGCTGACATGGGGATGGACAGAGGAGCACACAGGGCCCTCCTTGTCCTCACCTTGATATTCCAGCTTGAATCCTGGCCGGTTCTGGGAGTGGTCGCTGTGAAAATACACGGTGGTCTCGTGGGACGTGGAGAGCAGGGAGCTGGGAAGCTCGCTTCCACTGAATCTGCCCATCATGCGGCTGGTCTCGTAGGGGCCGTTCCGGATTTCTATGAAGTCATGGTTGGGCTCCGTGGAGAAGTTCAGGAACTGGATGTGAGCTCCTAGGAGCAAGACAGAGGCAGACAGTGCCCAAAGCAATACAGCCCCGCATCAAATGTGCGGCCTCATGAAAGTGTTTCCTGCCAGAGCCCACGCATCCCCGCTCCTGACTCCCGCCCCATCAGGATTCCCAGAACAGACTCTGGGAGCTGCCAGTCCAGTCTCCTGTCTTCAGGCAGGACTGCGCTTAAACGAGTGTTATTCATTCAAAAGGAAAGGCATCAGTCATTTCAGAGCTCCATCTCGAGTTCATTTTATTTCACTGAAAACGAAGTTCAAGATCAACACTTGATTTTATTTGCGACTCTTATGTCTTATATATCAGTATAAAGATAGCTTTGCTAAAATAAACATTTTACTTAAAAATAGTATCTCCCCACACCCAATGGAAAGACAGGAACTTCAAGACTGGTGTTTTCTAGAACACTGATGAAAATTCAGAAATGGAATACTTGGTCTTGTCTGCTCCACTAAGAAGCCACATGAAATTTATACTCTGGGATCTAACTGGATTAATCAAGCTCTCCTAGCAACCTGACTGGTTAAATAGCTAATTAAGTCCTTAACTTACATATTAATATATTCTTTGGAGAATGGAGGTGGAACTATTGTTACTTGTGAATGATAAGATTTCTCAAAATTAGATTACTATTAAAAATGATATTAAAGAACAATGTTTTCTGAGCACAGAAAGATGTTAATTGTGAAAATATGATTGCAAAATAGTAGGTTGTATATAATTCTCATTTTTGTAGTTAAAAACTAGAAGAATATTCATTGATTCAATAACAATATTTAGTGTGCCAGGGCTGTGGAAGGCACTGCGCAGGGATGGGCGAGGTCTACAGGCCCTTGTCTTCACGGGGGTTACTGTTTAAAGCTGAGGACGGAGCTGTCAGCGATTGCATGGTGGGATTACAGATCATTTTCATTTTAGACATGTGCTCACGTGTACTTTCTAATTTGCTTAGAGTGAGCTCATATGTGTGATTTTTTTTTGCATCTGATTAAAGAAAACAGCAAGACTCGGTATATAGTGTTGGAGACCTTCATGGCTCCTGCCGATCCCATGCCCCTCCTTCCCGCCACTGGGGCAGCCAGTATCATGAATTTGGGAGATATCTTCCAGTTCATGTTTTTAGATTCTTCAATATATGTGTGGGTTTGTTTTAAATGTTTGCATAAGTCATATTATACAGTTTTGTAAACTTATTTTTATTCAATATTGTTTTTTTCAAAGCCTATCCTTGATATACAAAGATATAGTTCATTGATATTTGTTTGTTTGTCAATCCTCATCGAGGATATTTTTTCCGTTGATTTTTAGAGAGAGCAGAAGGGAGGGAGGGAGAGAGAGGAAGAGAGAGAGAGAGACATTAATGTGAGAAAGACACATTGATTGGTTGCCTCCTACATGTGCACCAACAGGGCTGGGGATCGAACCTACAACCCAGGTACGTGCCCTTGACCAGAAATCGAACCTGAGACTCCCTTTGGTGGTGCACAGTTGATGCTCTAACCACTGAGAAACACTGGCCAGGGCTAGTTCATTGGTTTTTAACGACATATTAATTATTTCCATTTTATGAATTATCCAACAATGCTATTCGTTCCCCTACTAATGAACATGTAGACTGTTTCCAAATTTTGGATAATTTAGCAACGAGCACGTTTGCACATATCACCTGTGGAGCCTACGCTTCCCATTCCACTGCCCATCCCATGTACCATCCCAACACTGTGGGTGCATATCCACCAAAGGGGCTCTACAAGGATGCCCGGTTTCTGAAATGACCTGCCTGGAAAGAGCAGGATGTGACCACTGTCATCTAGTGGCACCACCTTGTAAATGCAGTGGCTCTTTACACACTGAAGCCACATTAGGGACTATCTGGGAGTTCAACATTCACTTGAAAGGGAGGGATCCTGGTCTTCTGCAACTGGACCCTGCAGGAGGCTCTCTCCCCAGGGGCTGAAGAGGCACCCGGGACTTAGAGATAGAGAACTCTGGTGGCTGAACATAAGGACCTTGAGAGAACAGTGCTGTACTTCCATTTAAACTTCTGTTTTCCCTTGGATGCTGCCCTCTCCCCATCCCTCTATCATCTGAGGTTCTTTTGGCCCATGTCTGGATGCAGAGCTACAAGGTATCCTAGCTCCTCTTTCCTCAATGTCTCAAAATCTGGGAGCTTCCCAAGGCCCCCCAAGTCATCATCATCCTGAAACCTGATCCCGTCCCTAGTTTCCTTCAGAAGATGGTTCTAAATATGACTCCATCCTTTGAAGGGTCACCAACCTCTCTCCTTCCCTCTGAATAGATTTAAAGAGGGCCAGCTTAGATTGCCTTCTCCCAAAAGCCCCTTCTCCATCAGCAGACCCACTTGAGGCTGAATCAAGGACAAAATAGGTGGTCTTCACTCCTGAGGTCACAGACTGGGAGATCCCAGGCCCGTGCAGGAAAGATCCCCTCGGGGAATTTCCTTCCAGGAGTAGAGTCGTGACTCGGGCAAGATGACCTACATGGACAGCCCATCAGTTCCATGTCAACACAAGTCCTTTTCCCTTCAACAGGTTTATTTGGGGTTAAAACATATTCCCAGTACACAATATAGGATGAATCATCAGCAATTAAATTTTGTACCCAGATCACTGTTCCCCCTACTGGCATACTCCGTCTTCACACACAAAAAACATCTCCCGACCTCCAAGGCTAGCCAGAATGTGCCTACGAAGAATGCAAACTCAATTTCACGTTGACCTTGGCTCAATTTAATTAGGGTAAAAAATTGGATATTATAGTTAAAAGCACAACTTGAGGGCCAGTGTCTGTAAAATAGATTGTGTTTTTCTTTTTTAATCGGCCCTGAGTAATTTCTCATTCCACAGTCCTGGGTTTCTGCTTGCTACTCAAATGATAATAATAATAATGGCAAGTCCCAGGACTTCCCCTGCCCTCGCTACATTTAATGCTTCCAAAACATCCATCTCTACTACTCTTAATGGACTTTCTGATCGTACTAAAGGTCAGCAGATGAGGACATGGGGAGGCAAAGAGCTGAACTGCCTCAGCCAGGGTTGTGCTGAGTGATCACAGTAGACAGGTGCTTTAAGCAGAGACCTGGGCACGAAGACTCACCAAAGCCCACGGGTAGAGCTATTTTCCACGAGCAGTCCATGTTGCTGGGGTAGTTGCCCGGGAAGCCGGGGCTCAGGATCACCCCCTCCATCTCCTCCACTGCTCCCCCACACTGCGCTGTGACAATGAGACCAAGGGTTAGGACAGCATCAAGAATATGGGGCCAGTGTTTGGGCGCTGCCTTAGAGTGGCAGTGTTTAACCTTTCCCAAATCATGAACCCTTTTGAGAATCTAAAGGAACCTATAGTTCATCTCCCTAAATGACTGCACACATGGGCAAAACAGCAAATAGATTCAGGAGGGGCTGCCCAGCCTCCTCCTAGCAATCTGTCCACAAACCCAAGTTATGGACCCTTGACCTTGAGCATGTCTTTTGTGTTAATTCCCTTATGAGCTCCTACAGCAAAAGTGGTCTGCTCCAATGGAAATATCTCCATTTCTTACACTATCCCCTAAATCTCCCTGTCATTGTCCAGTCAATCCTTCTAAGACTGAAGAAAAAGGAAGAAGGAAGGAGGCTGGCATGCACTGGGTCCCCACTCTGTGTCGGCACCATGCCAGGCTCTTCATAAACCTGTACTCCACAGGGCTGAGTGGTCGGCAGGTGAGCCTCGCCATGAGCCGGCCTTCAGAACTTTGACTCTGCCCACCAAGGTGCCTGTGCTTAGCGTTCCATGGGGAGCCAGCCACAGGGGCTGGGGCACCTGAAACTCCAATCAAGGTGACTTCAGAGCCATCCGAGGCGGCAACACCACTACAGCCTGGCCAGATGACATCAATTCTTTCCTTTCACATCTTATTAGGAAAAGGCTGTGTGAGCAGAAAGGGGTTAGGCAGCCACCGCAGTCCCAGGAAAGCAGCAGAGGGCTGGGCTCTGTGGCACCTGGGCCAGCGCTTCCTGGGGGGAGGGCGCTGTGTAGCCCTGAGCAGCAGGGCCGGGGTTCAGAGCGGGCGCTCCGGCACTCACCGCTTGGTCGCAGCCCCAATGCTTCCACCTCCTGTTTGACTCTGGGCAAGTTCTACACCCCTCCCCACCTCAGTTTCTCCCAACTGTGAAATGGAGCTAACAATAGCACCTATGCCACAGAGTGGTTAGGAGGTGACAGCAGGAACTCTGAGCTTCACTTGGAACAGGAGCTGCCACACACAGTAAACCCTTGACCAGTGGCAGCTGCTATTAACGTGATGGCTTCCATGGCAGGACTTTTGTATTATGTATGGAGGGAAGAGCCTGGGGCTGATCCGTCACATTTTGGACTGTCAGCGACTACCAGGCCCTGTGCCTGGTAAGATCACAGGAGGGAAATGCCATTATGCCCAAGTGACACTCCCTCAGCTCGCCTTGCCCCTATCCCAAGGTCAGCCTTGGGGGGCCCTTTACAGTTGCCTGGGCATCAGAGGAACCGAGGTTTCCATTACCGACCCCACCACTTTCTTTCTAATCCCTAAAGCCTTCGTTTTCCTATTTGCAAAAATGAGAATGACACGCCCCCCCGAAGAAGTGCATGGCTCTGTCCCTTGCACACAGTAGACGCCCAATGATAATGGTTGGCTTCTCCCTGCCCCAACCTGGCTGCAAGTTTCTGCGGGTGAAGGCTCCATCTTTTCTTGTACCTACTGATCGCTATCATTGCTCGTACAGGGTAAGAAACCAGACGAAGTCCTCATTTCACATGTAACCCTCGGCATTTCTCCTTTAGTGCATTTTATCTGTCTGTGCCATGGGACGTCATAAAGGAAAGCCCAACGTGCTTAGAAGTTCCATTCGGGGTTTGGTCGGTTAGCTGGAATCAGAATGGCCATCGTCACTTTTTCAAGTGGACAAGGCTCCTGTAGTTTTTCATTGGTGGGCCAAGGTTTCCAAAAATCATGACAGCCTTGAGTGAGAGGGAAAGCTTACAGAAACATCAGCCTAAAATGACTGCCTTTGAACGAACCCAGAATACCAGACTGCCTTTTGATACGTCCCTGAGCTCCAATCCCTGGTGGAAAATGGATTTGAATGAACTGGAAGAGTCCGGGCTCTCTTACCAATACAGAGCGGAGGCGGGTAGTTCCAGCGCCGCACGGTCCCGGGCATGCAGGAGATGTGGGCGTGGCCCTGGAGGAATCAGGAACAGGGGTGGGCTACTGCCCCCGGGGGCACAAGTGTACGCACAACCCAGCACAGGGGCTCGTTCAGGGGCCTTGCATTAGGGAACAAGACACACAGTCCACTGTGGGATGTGGAGAGAGGCAGAGGGAGAGAGATTTGGGGGAAGGATGACTAGAGAATTCTCATTACTCAAGCTTCCTTGTGAGCCTCCTTTAATTACTAGATTCCCTCGTGGCCTTCAAAAGAAAATTAAATTTTCCTAAAGTCTAATCAGACCGAAACTTTGCAGGAACACATTTGAGGCTGGCTTGTGCCAAATCCCTAAAGTCAGCAAAGTTTGCCTTTTGCATGAACAGCTCCAGGAGGGAATAATGGTCCCCGGGGGAGTTGGGAGGCTGCTCCCTGTTCTTTGGTGACTGCAGCTGTGCTGGTGCAAGGCTGGCCAAGCACGCCTCAGGGGACACCTGTCCTGTTCCTGCCCTGGGTGTAGAGGGGAGGTACCTGGAGGGCATATCCCGGCTCGCACTGAAAAGAGACGACATCATTCACCAAGTAGCGCTCGCCAGTCTTCACCCCGTTACTGGGCACGGCAGGTTCTGGACAGCTACTCAGGCCCACCGCTGGAGAGGACAGACAGACGGAAAGGAGAATGGACCAGCCCAGCAGGTCAATGTGATCGCAGGCTGAGGGTGATGCTGGAAGCAGAGAGAAGGGTGCCTCCAGATTGGCCTTTCTCTGCTTCTCTGACTCTAGGCTAGTGCTTCCCAGTCCTCTTACTTCACAGAGCACAGAGAAAATCAGAATATTTATATGGCACAGTGGCTCCGTGGACCAAAGCTCCTGGGGGCAGGCTGGCATCATCCGGGAACTCTGGCTGCCCGCTGCCCCCTGGGCTCCCCAGAAGGCCTTTCCAGGGAGCTGCCCAGCCCTGGCTCTAAGCCCCCAGACCCCTCTGCCTGAGCTCCTCCCACATCACTCCTGCCCCAGTCTTCCAACATCCCTCCATTTCCTTGCCCTAAGAAAACAGCTCCCATAGGCTAAGATGTTGGGAGAGAGGCCAATGAAAGGCAAGAGGGAAAGAAAGCAGTTCTCAGAGGGACCACCCAGCAATGCTCAGGGACTCAGGGTCCTCTCTCTGGGACAGACTGTTGTGAGAAAAGTTGGCCAGCGGATGAGACGCTCCACTGCCTTCTTTCTCCTGTTGCATTTTAAAGCCGGGCAGCTCCTTTCTGGGAGCAGAGTTGGGGCTCCTCGCACTTCACCTCCCACGGCAGCTCGTCCTCACTCGCCACCGGACCCAACAGCCTCCCCATCTCTCATCCCCTCCCCTAAGCCATTCTGTTACTGTCCATCTTGTGTTCACAGGCACTTTACATTCTTAATTTCTTTCCTTGAATCGTGGAACTTCCTTGTCCAGCAGCTTGAAGTGGGTCCCCATCGCCTGTCAAAGGGAGTCTCACCTCGTCCTGGCAACCTAGGGCCTGTGTATTTAGTGACAGGTGGGACACGGAGTGGGCCTCCCCGGAGATGCGGGCTGGGAGAACCATGAGGCAAACTGTAAACTGAGTTCTCAGCCTACTCCAAAGCACTCCTTTCGCCAAGGGTGGCAGAAAGGAGAGGAGGGCATTCGAGCTAAGACACTTTGGGTCTGACCCTGGGTGCCTGGGCAGCCTCAGCCCTCCTGTTAGATTTCTGCCTCCTGGTAGACCCCAGATCCCTCTGGAGATGCAGGCTCCTTGGGGAACCCAGTGCAAGCAGCGCCTGCAGGGGAGCCGGCACTTGTGGGAAAGGAAAGGGAAACTTTCCTTTCCAGCCCAGGCCACCCAGTCCCGCCTTCTCGTGCAGCTGACGACTCCTCCTTCCACACTCAGAGCTGCGGCTCCACACGTGCGCGAGGTAACTAACTACCTGTGCTTTCTTCTTCTGAGGAAAATTTACATATAACAAAATGTACAAATCGTTAAGTGTACATCTGCTGAGTTTTGACAGATGCATGCACCTGTATGATCCAAACCCCTACAAAACTACACAACATTACCATCACTCTAGAAAGTTCCCTCCTGCCCTTCCCAGGCAACTCCTGTCCTACATGTGCTTTTAAGAAGTGAAAGTGATGCTTGGAAAGGAAGGCTGTTTGGGTCTGTCCACAAATCTCAGCAGCTGGGACAAAAGACCTTAAGGACAGAATTAAAACCATTATTAAACTGAATTTGACATACTTCATCTTGGCTGTCACCCGGTCTATTTCTCCCCATTCCTCCCTGCACTCCAAGTAGAACACAACTCAGTACTTAGTGGGTGATCACAACTCAGTAACCTGGGACCTACTTACTGGAAAGGCAGCAACGGACAGAAGGAGGCCGGGCAGAGAGAAAAAGAGAGAAACCAGGAGCAAGAGAGTGTGGTGGGAGAAAAACTGGAATGGGGAGGAAAGTGAGGCCAGAGAGAGAGAGAAGCAGGGGGACAGAGCAGAGCCCATTTTAACTTCTCTTGCACGGCACACCGATTATATTATTTAAGCCATGCTTACAATGAAGGAAGAATTATTTTTTATCACATGCAATTTATTGCTTTGGAAAGCATATTGCTTCATTCCCATTTCAATTAAATAAACATTAACTATGAGTCATAGCGGTAGATATGACTTTTCAGTACCTTTCAAAACCATCTGCCTGTACAATAGCAATTAATTCTCCCCTTCTGCACTTCTTTGTAGATTATCTACAAAACAAAAATACAACTACAGGGTCTTCGTTCCTAGGAATTTTGGTCTCTAAATACTAATGGGAACTTTTTCCCCCTAGCTTTTCCCACCATGAGAGGACAGTGCGTGAGAAACATCAGCTACTGAGAAAACCACCAGCTTCCCTGGGGAAAAAAAAAATTGAGAAGAGGTGGAGTTTTCCTGGGAATGAGGCAGTGGAATGACAAAGAGATTTAGGAAGAAACTTTATCTTTGGAAAAAGAAAATAAAGAGAAGATTCTTGGGAACATTTAAGGACTCCAATTCAGATATTGAATAAGGTCACAAAACTGCAAAGAGTAGAGAAAAGAGGGTAAAAGAAAAAATTATGGATGACTTAAGAGTCCCAGGACATCTCAGTCCACACCGACTGAAGCCTCAGAGGTCTGCGGAGGAAGGTCTCTGAGGTCCCCCTCCTGTCCTCTACCCCCCAGGGTCTTTGCTTCAAGCTGTCCTGGATCTCTCCTACTAGGTACACTCTTCAGCTCTCTCAGGCTGTGAGCATCCTGGGATCCAGCTAACCCTCTCCCAGCTACCTGGATAAAGCTCATTCGTTTTGGAGACCAGCTGGGCATCTGCCCAACACCCAGTGCTAACCCCTCCAGGCCCCTAGCTCCAGCTGGGGCTTCCATCGGCACAGGCCCATGCTGTCAAACAGTCAAGCCAGCCACGCCTTCCCACATTTCCAAAGACAACTGCACCACAGAACCAGGGGTTGGAGAGGCCAGGTTTTAGGATTGGAGGAGATTACCTCTATTTCATCACATCCCAAATTATATACGGGGCCTAGGCCAATAACCAGGCCCCCTTCCCACTCCCGGTGTGGACACAGAGGAAGCACACAGGTTTCTGAGTGACTGACATTTGGGTGAGAACCCCGCCTCACTGGCAGTGTAGCCTCAAGGTTTCAGACCTCAGAGCTTTAGCGATCTCACCTAGGACTGTGATAAGGCTTCAGTGGGATGAAGATACAGCCCCACTGTGACTCCTACTCATCCTGGGCACTCAGTACCTATCAGTTCCCACCCCAAACCCCATACACAGCCCAGATTCTGGATTCTCACTTTTGTACTCCAAGTGGAAGCCGGCTGCCGACACGCTGATATCTGAGTAGAAATGAAGGTAGAGCTGGTTGGAGGTGCTGTTCAGAAGGGCAGGCACGGTTGTTCCTAGGGCAAGAAATGGGACCACTCAGGCTCAGGCTCCCCGGCCCCCAAGCTCCTCCCTTTTTCTCTTGCTTCTGCTACCTGAGGACATTCTGCTTGCAAGGCCGCCAGATGTCCCCAATTATCACTCACTAAAAGACAAATTAGCACCCCTCAGAGTGCTGGGTCTCCCATGTCCAAGGGAGGGGGGAGCCCACAAACAGCTTTCTGCAAAATGAGCAGTGGTGGAGCCTCATACCAGCAGTATGGTGAGCTCCTCAGGTGCCCTACAAGTTGGGTTCCCTTCCAGCCACCTTCAAAATGACACTGACATGTCTCATTATCTGGGAAATACAGGTGGTGCAGACAGTTTATCTGGGGCACAGGACTCCTTTTATATCTTGGCAACATGAGTTCTTGGGTTTAGAAGACCCAAGAAGTTGACCTGGTCATTGGGCTAAAACACATACCACACGCAGTCAGAAGTCCACCACTGGAATGGAAAATGGCGTGGCTACTTTGGAAAAAAGTTTGTCACTTCCTCAAAAAAGTTAAATATAGAATTCCCATATGACCCAGGAATCCCATTCCTAGGTATACACCCAAGAGGACTGCAAACATGTCCCCAAAGAAACTTGCATGAGAATGCTGAGAGGCATTATTCATAATTAGCTAACAAGTGGAAAGGTACAAATGTCCATCGGCTAGTGCATGGACAAATGACATGGGGCCTATGCATACGCTGAGGTGCCGTATGTGCTACGACGTGATGACCCTTGAAAACATCCTGCTGAGTGAAAGAAGCTGGACACAGAAGGTAGGACTCCCTTTATATGAAAAGTCTGGTGTCTGGAACAAGCAAGTCCATAGAGATGGAGAGTAGGTTAGTGGCTGACAGGGGATAGAGGTGGGGGTTGATGGGGGCGGGTGCAGATGGGGACCTGGTTTCTTTTGGGGAGATGAAAATGTTCTGGGATTAGATAGTGGTGATGGTTGTAGAATTCCGTGAATATACTAAAACCCACTAATTGTACACTTAAAAATGGTGAACTTTAGCCCAGCGGGAGTAGCTCAGTTGGTTGAGTACTTTCCTGTGCACTGAAAGGTTGCTGGTTTGATTCCCAGTCAGGGCACATGCCTGGGCTGCAGGTTCAGTCCCCCATTGGGGTGTGTGCAGGAGGCAACCAATTGATGCCTCTCTGTCACATCGATGTTTCTCTCTCTCTCTCTCTCTCCCCCCCTTCCTCTCTCTAAGCATATCCTCCAGTGAGGATTAAAAAAAAATAGTAAAATAAAATGGTGAATTTTATGGTTATGTGAATTATATCTCAAAGGGAGGATAAAAGGTTATGGAAGGAGACTTGACTTGAGGTGAAAAACACACAGTATAACATACAGATGATGTATTTTAGAATTGTACACCTAAAACCTATATAATTTTATCAACCAATGTCACCCCAATAAATTCAATTAAAAAATAACAAAAGTCCATGACTACTCTCTGAGTTGAGGTTCCTGGAAGTCTCGCCTCACCTGAGAAACTCCCCAGCATAGTCACAGTGTTGTCTGCACCGTCAAACACCTCCAGGGAGTCCCAATTCTGCTCTGTGACAAAGCTGATGACCTGAATCTGGGAAGGTGAAAGGATTAAACTGTTGGTTTACACAGCCTGCACCTGCCCTCCCTCTCTTCATATAACTAATTCAGTTATTGAGCACCACCTCGGGGTCTGGCATCGTGCGTGGTCCTTCTAATAAAAGTAGGATGCAGTCTCTACCCTCAAGGAGCTCTTTGTCCAGTGGGGGAGACACATGTGAAATGGGTGATTATAAGGCAGTGGATGGGGAAAGGAAACTCCAGGAAGTGGGAATACTTCAGTCTGACTGGCATTCTCTGTCTCTCGAACATTCCCTGGGCTTTCCCACTTTCCTGTCTGGGGTGCATCAGGCATCCTGCAGCAATGAGCCAGCAACACCTCTTGCTGGCCCTGTCCACCTGAAGTCCCTGCTTGCTGCCTCTCTGCTGGCCTCTTTCATGTCACCACGCCAGCTCTGCAGCCTCCTCCACTTGGTTTTGACCACTGGGCACCTGTTATGGCCCCAATTCTGTCCCTACAGTTCAGGATGCAGGGGCGACACTCTAGGTGTGTGCCTGGTGTTTCATCTGTGCTTCTTGGTTTGCTCCTTCCTCTTACCTGCAATGTCCCCTCTTTTATATCCCACAATCTTAAGAAAAAAACAACAATCCCTCAAGCTATTTAAAAAATATTTCCTATGAATCCCCCCCAGCTCCAGGCCCACTTCCTTCTCTGGCCTTCCCTGATGTCTGGAACCAGTGCCTACCCCTCCTCCTTCCCGAGTTACCTGGCTCTCTCCTCCTCCCTCTCCCCAAGCTCTTGGGCCACGAGCAGTTTGTTTCTGTTTGCAGGCCTCAACTCTACACATGGCCGGAGGGGCAGGGACAGGGCTATGTCTCCTCCTGGCCACCTGCCTGATGGAGATGTTTCTTTGCCCCTACCTGGATGCCAGCACCTTCGGGGACCATGATCTTCCACACGCAGTTGAGGCTGTTGAGGTAGGGCTCTGGGAAGCCGGGGGACAGGATGGTGCCCCTGCGCTCCGTGAGGTTGCCTCCGCAGGGCACTGGGAGGAGGCAGCTCTGGTCAGAGGCTCTTTCCGCTTGTCTTCGTGGGTCCCCCATGGGAACCTCCCCAAATAGACTTTTCTCAGGGCTCCCCATTCTGTTTGTGACTCTTCCCCCTGCTGGCTACCCAGTAGGGAGGGCCCCTGCCCCACCCTTTCCCATGACTCCTCCCCATGCAAGCCCCTCCAGGGGCCTGGATTCATACACCTCCCTTCACACACGTGCACCCCACACCCCCAGCAACCCCACCTTCTCCTTGCTGTCTTCACATTCAACGCACAGGACTAGTGACCTCACTGGAAGGGGGCACCCTACTTAAGTTATGCTGGCAGGCAGGGCAGCTGCGTGTCTTGCTGCCTCCCCCGGGGGGAAAGGACTGTTTGCAGGCCACCCCCTGCCCAGCCCTGGTTGTCCAGGTGCTCACCCACACACGCTGGTGCTGAGACATTCCACTGGGCCAAGGCCCCGGGAACAGGGAGGCACTCGATTTCTGGCGACCCCTGCAGGGCATAGCCGGAACTGCATTCGAAGCGGATGATGGCCCCCACTGAGAAGTCACTGCCCAGTCTCTTGCCATAGCGGGGTTCCGGCACAGAGCTGCACTGCGTGGCACTGGTTCGGGGCACCGCTGTAGGGGACAAGGGCACTGAGGGGCAGGCCTCTCCCCTCTAGGAACTGGCCCGGGGATAGACACACAGCTGGACTGGAACTGACAGCCTGGACGGGACCCTGAGATGCTCTGGGCATTTTCCCTTAGGACTGGGGTAGGGGGCTTCATAGGAAGAGGCCCGTTTACTGAAATACAGGGGGATGCATGATGCTGCAGCACAGCTTGTGGAAACCATGGGAGGCGGTGTGAGTCCCTGGCCCAGACTGTAGGCCCAGCTGTGGTCCTCGCCTTCCCAACGGTGCCCCTCGCCCATCAGGGTCCCACCTTCCCTAACCGGGAGAGTGGCCCTCCTCCTCTACTGGCTTTGATTTTTTCTTGACTTTGGCTTTTTCTCATATGTGCCTTAGACCTGCCCAGGGCTCTGACCTCCATCCCCTGAATCTCCTCTCTCCCCACCCACAGTGGTAGATAGGACCTTTTAACCTAGGCCCCAGAGAGGGCATCCCCTGTGGGAGGATTCCCCCTGCACAGGGCAATGCAGCTCATCCCGGACATCGAATTAATAGAAATACTCTTAGATGGGGTCGTAAGGAGTGGACATTCTCCTGGGCAAAGAGAGGCTGGGGCCTGAAGGTGACAGTAAGAAAAGGGACAAACACTGATTACCTGCTTGGTGCCAGTTACTTTGTGAACTCTCTTAATCCTATCAGTGAGGTGTTATTACCCTCATTTAATAGGTGAGCAAACTGGGGTTCCGAGAGGTGGAGCAACTGGTGCCCAGTAGGAAAGTGGCAGGATGGCATTCAAATCCATGTCCATCTCACTGCCAAGCTTGTTTTTTCCCTACACCTTTCCTGGGTCTTGTAGACAAAACCAAGCTCCATAGGGGAGAGTCTAGGAAAGAGGCCTGGGCTGGTCTTGCCAATAGCCTTCGGGCTGTACCAGACAGTGTGGGGCAGAATCAAATTCCCATGTCTTATTTCTCCCCTCATTCAACATGCAGTTTGGTCCAAGACTTGTCTGTTAAGTAAATGCATGTATACAATTCAACTGAATTTCAAGGGACTGGTAACTGCACCAACTGGTAACCGCACCAAAACCTTAAGAATGAGGCTCAGACTGAGGGGCAAATGTCGCTGTTCCTTTGGCCCCTGAGTCACTGAAAAACTGAAGCTGCCTCTGCCCCTCCCATGCCCACATTCTGCATACCTTGGTAGACAAAGTGGAAGCCTCTGGCTGGTGCTTGGCCTTTGGCACTGAACTTAATGAGAACTTGATTGGAGGTGGCCAAGGGCAGCGATTCCCCTGCCGAGATAAGGGGCGAGGAGGAGGGAAGACAGTGAGTCCAGCAGTTGCGCCGGCGGTTAAAGTCCCGGCCGGGAAGGAGAGGCTCCCCATACCCTTCACAGCAGTTCCTTTCACACCCCAGGCCTTCCTGAAATGAAACCTCACAATTTTACTGCCCTTTTCAGTTTAAAGTCTGCAGAAGGCTTCAGCATCCATGGCCTTATCTTGACCCACAGTCAGTGTGAGGTTGGCATGACGGGAGTTTAGTGCCCCCAGGTAACAGACAAAGAAAGAGAGGTTCCAGTGATTAAATGACCGGCCCCAAGAGGACATTTAAGTGTGCTGACCCAGGGGACGGGGTAACAGCCGTCACCAGACTGACGGGTGGTTTACCAGGAAAGCTGCCATCAGTCTGACAGGAGAAACAGCACCAGCTCCAGGGAAGGAGGGTGATCTTTTGAGAGTAACTGACCTTTCCCAGAGTCTCTGTGAAATGATCAATAACCAGAGCGATCATATAATTTTTATTGCTCACACTAGGACACTTTTAAGGCTAAAAGGGCATTAACAATTACACGGGGTCAACCAAGTAGAAGCTGGGACTGTCCCAGGCAAAGCAGGACATGTCGTCACCCAACCAATAATAATACACAAGCTGGTGGAAATTGGAATGGGCGCAGGGGAGCCTGGAAGCCTTTCTATCAGAAGACAAAGCTGCACCTTCTGCTTGATGTGGAACAGATGGACGGGAGTAAAGATAGCACACCCTGACCTGCAGCGGGAAGTGCAGTCTTGGTCGTCATCACCTTCCTGTGGGAGCTGAGGGAATGTGGGGTGGCAGGCAGTGCGAGGGCCACTCTGTGTGCTGCCCCTCTGAAGCCTTTAGGGAGCCCAGGGAGTGGCTGCTGACTCCACCAACAGAAGGGAAGTGGGGGCTACAGAAAGCTAGGCTACATTTCCACTGCGGTGAGGGCTGGCATTGGAATCAGCCAAGAAGCCACTGGGAGGCACATCTGGGGCCCACCAGCGCTTGCAGAGAGCTGATGGGATTCTACTGGTCACAGGAGTGGCCTTTTGCACAACACGCTTAGACTTACATGTGACCCAGACCACTGAGCCTGCTAGGAGTCACTGCCCCAGCTAACTCTCAGCTGCCAAAGCAAAAAACGAAAACAAAACTCACGAAGACAAAGCGTCTCCTCGTTACCTCTATCGATCCTCTCAATGGATGCGAGCAGAACAAAACTCAGCCTCTCTATCCTACCATCATCTGGCCTGGCATGTAACCTCCCACAGAACCCGTCTGGACTCCTATCCCCAGACATATGCAGACCTCCCTCTCCACGGCTAAGCAAGCACATGGGAAGATCACTGGACATAAGGCAATATTTCAAAGTTTTAAGGGAGGAAACCACTCTGAGAAACCAAAGCAAATATTTTTATGTGACCTACAGTATAACGAACAGGCAACATCTCAGAAGACTGTCAATCACATAACTGCCACAGATTAAATCCAGAGCAGCGCCTGTGGAATCAGAGGAGGCAGACAGGCTGCGGGAAAGAGCTGAGGTCAATAAAGGCTTCAAAGGGAGGAGAAATGCTAGCACACGGCAGCCAGGTAAGGCAGGAATTGAACAGCGACGACGTGGAGATTAGATCTGGGAAATTCTTCCAGAGTCCACAGAAAAAGGAGAGATTAAAATAATGAGAGAAATGATGAGCGACGTGGAAGACAGGTGAAAAAATCCAATATGCATACATCAAGGATTCCAGAGAGAGAGGAGACAAGAGAAATTGATGGAGAAAGAATAAGTTGAGAAACAAGGTAACTTTCTTAAGCTTAAGAGAGACTTAAGGTTCAGACTGAAGCTGTCCACAGAGTGCCAGATCTGATGGATGAAAAACGATTTCCACCGCAATACATCCTGGTGGGATTTTTGATTTTAAAAATTAAGAAAAAATCTGAAAGGCATTTAGAAAGAAAAGCTCAGGTTACCTACAAGATAAAAAATCAGGTTGGACTCTAATGTGTCTGTAATATTAGCTGTTGGAACAGAGTGGAACAAATACTGCAGTTTTAAAGATAATGTTCGTGACCCATAACTTGACTTACAATCAAGTTGTCTTTATATAACATGTCAAAGGAAATTCATTCTCGTACGTGCAAGGTACAGGAAGTACTACAGTTATGAGCCCGACTAAAAAAAATGAATGAAAGTAAGGAGACCAAAAACTTTCAGGGAGAAAGACAACCTGAAAAGTACTGTTAAACCCATACGATTATTGCGATTAGGTAACAAAATTAAATGGAAACTTAAAAACTTGTTCTTGGGGAAGAAATCCATAATTTAAAAATAATTACTAATACCATTAATATAGAAGTCCAACTATATAAAAAAAACATGGGGATTGGAGATGGGCCTGGTGTGAATGGAAAAGTGAGGAGTCAAAGTCAAAGCAAAAACAAATAAAAACTCAGAAAGAACAGACAAGCTGACAGGTAGCAGGCCAGATGTTTTGCTTATAAACTCGGTAAGTAAACTTCCCCTTAAAAGGCAAAGGCTGTCAGAGAAAACGAGGAAAGATATATTAGGCAAACACAGATACAAAAATTGTTAGAAACACAAGAAGACAACAAAATATCACAACTGCATGGGAGACACTTTCACACAGCACTCTCACTCACTGACATATCAAACAGAAAACCAAAATGAAGGTTGCTGAGTGGTGGTCCGGAAGCTTCCCCTCCCTCTCATTCAATACGTTAGGGACAGGGACACACTTCACTCCCATCTGAACCAGTGGCTCACTGTCAGTGTTTCTCCAAATGAGAAATAAGATACGATGTGAGTATATTGATGCTGATATCTATAGGTCCTATACATGCACCTACCTACCTACCTATATTTTCTATTTTCATTGGTCCTATACAGCTATATCTACAACTATACCTATATCCATATTTACATCTATAAATTATAAATGTATACATGTCTATTTCTCTCTCCCTTTACCTATACTTCTATATCTATACCTGCTTATACCTCTATCAATCATCTATCTATCTATCTATCTATCTATCTATCTATCTATCTATCTATCTATCTATCTATCATCTATCTATCATCTATCTATCTATCTATCTATCTATCTATCTATCTATCATCATCTATCTATCAAGAGATTTTTAAAAAAACACCCTACCTCAAGAGATCCCAAGTTACACTTCCATTGGGTGTGAATGTGTGGGGTGGTGGTGTAGAAAAATCACCTGATTGAGAACCATTGATATAATGGATTTGAAAAATAAAATTGAATAAGACTGATCTAATTATTATTACAAAGCTCATTTAATCCCAACAATAACTCTCGGAGGTAGAACTTTTACTCTTTGCATTTTACAGGTGAGGAAATTAAAGCTCAGAGGGGTCAAGGTTGTGCCTGCAGGCACCTCACAAGGAACTGGGAGAGCTCGGGTTAGAGTGCAAGCGGTGAGGCTGCAGGGCCTGAGCTCCCCTTTTCTCTGTAAGGCACCTATTTGGACCCTGCAGAAAACCTGTATACTTCTCAGATACTTTGGGAATTTAAAAACATATCCTTGGCTACTGAGAGGGCCTCATTTAATCCCCAAAGTAGAATGGTAGAGATTACATTCTCTAACCACATGACAATAAACACGGAAAACAACACAAATGTAACAAGAACAAAATCCAGACTCTTGGGGGAGAGGGGGAAGAGACATTCTTAAACAACTTCTGGGAAAAAAGAGTAAAACTCCATCATGAATTATTTAGAAAGCAATGGCGATGAAAAGAGTACATATCAAAACGGATGGCTTGAAACCAAAACCATGCTTACAGGCGAGTATATCGCTGTAAACATGCACTTCCTTACACAGAGAAAATAAACACAGCTCTCAATTCAAGACGTTAGAACAAGACGAACAAAATAATCTGAAGGAAAAAGGGGGAGAGACATTATGAAAAAAAGGGCAGAGGTCAATTAATTAGGAAATAACAAGCTCCACACAAGAACTGGTAAGTAGGTGCAGGAAAAAATAAAATGAAACAAACAACAAAAAACCTCTGGCCCAGCCGAGTAAGAGGAGGAACTATGTCTATAGCATTAGGCATTGGAAAGGCAGGAGATATGACCGCTAACAGAAAGGAGATCAAACAGCATCAAAGTACATTATTACATGAGCAACGTTGCTAAACTTAAAATAATTACAAAATGGATTCTTTACTAAAATATGAAACATCAGCATTAATATCAAAGTAAGATACCTGAACAGGCCAATAACCATGGAAGAAAATAAGAGAAAAACCATGGAAGAGACAAAGTAAGGAGACAAGTTCATCTGCAGAGGATATTACTTCTTGCCAAAAGGACCCAGGAGAATCAGCTGGCAGCGTTAGCACTGTCATGGAGGGCTCGATGACTTTATAAAACGAGTACACCAAAAATACCAGTCTTCTAATATACTGGCAGAGGCCGATTAGAAAATACAATGTGGGGAGGCCCGCTTACAGTAGCAACAAAAACTGCCATGAAGCATCTAGAAAAAACGTTAAAGAATGCACGCGGCCTAAGCGAAAATGATAACACCTTCCCAAAGGAGACAAGAGATAAATACACGGAGATGCACCACGCTCCTGAATGGGAAGGAGAGCTCCTATTATAAAGAGGCGTTCTCCCCAATTAATCTATATGATTAATGCAGGTTTTTTTTTAACTTGACAATGTATTTATAAAATTATTTGGAGGCAAAGGTTAAGCAAGAAAAGGCAGTGAGAATTCAAAACAAAGAATGTCTATGGGGGATTTTTCTTATGGTATGTTTAAAATTATGATAATATTAAACATGATCACGTGACAACAATGAAAGCTTTCTCATATTGATATAAGAATAAAGAGACACTTAGAGGAAACGGATGAAGTCTAAAAACATGCCCTTCTCTTCATAAAAATCTACCATATGTAAATGTGGCATTTTGAAAATTCTGTTAGGACAGCTGATTAAGTATGTCTGAAAGAACATGATTATATTCCCTATATCAAGTAATATATCAAAATAAAGCCCAAAGTTATTAAAGCAAAACAATGAAACTAAAAAGAAGTAAAAAAAACCCCAGAAGAGTGTTTATGTCATCAGCACGACAGGAGAGGAACAAACAGTAAAAGAAAAACATTGATAGATTTGATGTCATGGGAGATTTAGATTTTCTGACATTCAAACAGACCCCGAAGAAAATTAAATGGCAAATGACAAAAATTTAAATAAAATTTAAATTTTCTGATATTCAAACACACCCCGAAGAAAATTAAATGGCAAATGAAAGGGGAAGGCATTTATAACATGATATAAACAAGAGGTTTTTATAGCACATTAAATAGCGCTTATAATAATATGGTGCTGTGCTAAATAAATAAGAAAATAAATGCTAATAGAAAAATCAATGCTAATTCACAAGTGGGTTCACAAATAAAAAAATGCACAGGCCTAATAGTTTTATTATAAAAATGCTAACCTAACTAGTAATAAAAGAAGGCAAATGAAAACATGAGATACCATTTTCGGTTTTCAAACCGATAATGCTTGTGTTTTTTTAATTACCTAATTTTGTGAGGAGAAAACATGCCCTCTTTTTCACTGTTGGTGAACAAAGTGGCAAGAGCTTTCTAGGGGCATATTTGACAATCTGTTAGAAAGAACTAAGGCTCTCACGTATCCTTTAATGTGGCAATTCTACGTCTAGATAGTCTAAGGTAATAGACGTGTAGAATGACACGTAGAATACACGGAATTACTATTCATAAGAGTGGAAAGTTAGAAACAATCTAAATGTTCCATGATAGGGAATTCACTACATAAATTTTAAATAACTATATGACAGACTATTGTGCAGCACTTAAAAGTCCTATTATAGACTAAAATAATGACAGACATGATCACAATGAATATTTTGATAAAAATATCTATGTTGCTTTGTTCAATAAAATATGTAAAAGATGAAGTCTAAGTAGATATAAAGACTGGAAGGAGATACATCCCTATTTTCATCCTGGGTGGCTTTTATTTATTTTAATTCTCTGTATAATTATTTTCTTGTTGGCTTTAAGTTTTCTACAATGAAAATGCAATATGTTTAAAAGTAGAAAAACATGTTTGGGTTAAACAGGAAACAACGGGGAAAGCTGTGCCCCAAGGGGTGGCGCAGGCACTGCCCGGGGGGAGCAGTTTCCGAAGCCCTGCAGGCAGGCGGCCAGGAGCTGACCGCCGTGAGGCAGAGGGACACGGGCGCACGAGGGACAGAGCTGTGGGCTCCACCTGCGGCTGGCCTCACATGAGACCCACGCCCCCCGCGTCCCCACGGCCGGCTGAGCCCGGGTACCTGAGTGGGTGCCCGACAGGGAGCTGAGCAGTCGGGAGCGCTGGCTGTGGCCGTCGTGAACCTCCACCACGTCGTTGAGGGCCGTGTGGAAGAAGGCGAACTGTCCAAACACCACTGCAGAGGGGACACGGAGCGGGGCGCTCAGTGTGGAAGCCTGCGCAGCGTGGGGGCACGCCGGGAGGCTGGGGGACCCCAGGCCGGGGAGAGGGACACCTCAGAGGAGGTTCCTGGGGCGAGCTCCTTGCTGAGTCTTTCACTGGCTGATGAGCACACTGGCGGACACCAGGCACAGGGACGCAGGGAGCTGGGAGGGGCTGGCTGGCACTCTCCCGAGTGGGTCCAGATGACGCTGAGAACTGCACCCAGTGGTCAGGCTGTGGCGGTGGCAGTGAACTAATCTTTTCCCAGATAGCAGCTGTAGCAGCTACTCAAGGACATGAAAGGGCTTTGGGTAACAACCCCCATTTTCCATGTGACCTCAGGACCTTGTTCCTGATAGATGCTTAATAAATGTTTGGTGAGTGACAGCCGGCCTTGCCCTAAGCCCACTCTGTCCCATCTCTTGGGACTAAGCAGCCCTCTCTCTGCAGGCTGCCCTGTCCCTCTCCTAGGTGGTCAAGATATATGGATGCCCTTTGCCCCACTGACACCAACTGTGTTTAGAAATCATTCCTACTCCTACAAAGAGGAGATCCAGGGAGAAAGCAGCCAGGCTGGTCACCTGATTGCCCAGGAATGACTGGCCTGTTCTCCCCAGGAGCTTCCCGAGTCCTCCAGGGCTGGCAGGTCTCTGGATTGTCATCACTGCCAACCAGGTGATAAGCCTGGCTTCCTTTTAGCTTGGATTCTTGGAGTCTGGAGGTTTCTCTGTCTACTCAGGGCACAGGCCTGCTCCTCACTTTTTCCTTGCTCATCCTGCTTATAGCTTCTGGGCCTCAGGTGGAACAGCAGAATGATGTGGCTCCCAGCTCCCTCACCTGGACTTGCAAGCCCAGCTCCATCCTACTCCTCACTTCTTCCTGTCCCTTGCCTACCCNGTCCTGCTTACAGCTTCTGGGCCAGGCTCTGGGCCTCAGGTGGAACAGCAGAATGATGTGGCTCCCAGCTCCCTCACCTGGACTTGCAAGCCCAGCTCCATCCTACTCCTCACTTCTTCCTGTCCCTTGCCTACCCATCCCTGGGTTCCCAATCGGCCTGGATCTGCAGCACCTCTATTCAGGCCTGAGCTGGCTGGGTAGCCCAGTGTCCCCCCCCCCTTCCCTGCATCCTGCCTAGTTCCTCACCAGCCCCATCCCCTTGGTTCCAGCCGACTGGTGCCCTTCCTGCCTTGTGTGTCAGGAATGTATTCTACAGCCTATTTCACGGCATCCACACTCAGTTGTCCTGTAGGAGAGACTGTTCTGCCCATTCCCACGGTGGGAGTGGATACAACTGAGAGTGGAACTAGGATACAGTTGCGCAGGGCTTGAGGAGTTGGAAGGAGTCAGAAAACATATAAACAAACATACATAAAACCCCACATACCATAATCCTTGGGCACGGTGACAAAATACAGGCAGATCTGTCCACTGGTGTAGTTCTGAGGGTAGTTGGGGGACAAGACCACTCCATCTGAACCCACATACTGTCCTCCACAGGGGGCTGAAAGAGAAATCAGAAGAGGGCCAGGTGACCTTGTGGGCCTCTCTCTCATCAGCTGTCCATCTTCTGTTCTGCTCACTCCCAGCTTGAGATTCTGGCCCTGGTGGGGCTGCCATGAGATGCACAGCCACTGATGTGGAGGAGAAGGCTTCTGAGGACACTGCCCCGCCCTACCCCAGGACATCCATCCCTGACCTGCACATGGCCTAAAACTCACCCTGATGGTATCAAGGGCCTTCCTGAGCACATGTCAATCCCGGCCCTCTAACAATTAACATGGGCACTGGTCCCTGGAGGCACAGCCTTGAGGAGCATTTTAGGAACCTCTACTGCTTACAAGTAGAACCAGAGCTAATCTGCTGCTCCCATGGCTGATGTCTGCACTGGGGTAGTCTGTCTGCATGAGTAGAGAGCCACGGCTTCCCCAGATTAGCTCCACTAGGAGAGAGAGGCCAGCCCATGAGACCCAGCCACCTTCTGCTCCCATCCATGGTGCCCTATCTGCAGGGGTGGACTTCAGAGCCAAGTCTTTCACCTGGGCAAAGGGAGCTCCTTGCTTTTCAACTTAGGTGGCCACCACGCTCTTGAAGTTCTGATGCTCCATCTGCTAGGATTCCATGGTTAACACAGGTCCCCTGGTCAGCCCACCCTGCTGGCTTTCGTTTTACACATTGGACCTCTCAGTGACTTTCCCCAGGACCAGGAATAAGCCAGGTCACCTTTAAACTCCCCTTTCCCTGCTATGAGTTACTAGCATGTCTGGGGGCCCCTGTTGAGGACAGGGTGTGGGTGGGGACACTGTGATCTGAGAGAGATGACATACTGACAGGGACCAGCGCACCTGGTGAATTACCAGCTATTCTCATTCACAGTGAACCCAAGGAGCTCCTTGCTTTGGGGGCCCTGTCCCCCCTCTGCCTCCCCCTTGCCCACAGCCCTTCTGCCTCTGGCAGGCCCTCACTCTGTCCTCCC